GTGGTCGTGTGCGTGGTGGGCTGCCGGGTGGTGGTTCAGGTGACGCGCGCTGTCAGTACGAGCTCTAGACCGGTCCTCGCCGTGGCTTCGTTTGCGGTAAGATCGGTCACACCTCCGTCCGCTGTTTCTGTCGCCTGGACGACCTGTTTCGTCAGCGCTTCGGCCCGTTGCACAAGCTCTCAGACTGGCACAACTTGCTTCGTCGTAGCATCCCGATCTTTGATATGGACTTGGATGAGATTGTTACTACCTTGCATGTGATGTATGCAGATGACTCTAGTGTGCTTCCTTCTTATTACCCCTTGTTGCCTAGTGTAGGTTTGCCTAGCTTAGACTCCTCTGCTGCATCAGGCGTAGGATCCCCTGCTTTGTTTAGCCTTGGTGCTTCCGTCGCTGTTTCGACTCCGGCCGACACTGCCGCGCTTTCCTTCACCTTGGACTCTAGCGCTTCCCGGTGTTTCTTCCGTGACTCCACCTCGCTGACGCCACTTCCTGTTCCTTCTGCAATTTCTCTTGCTGACCCCTTCTCCGGCCCAGTAGTCGCCCGCAGTTCCACCACCTTTCCCTGTCCAGCGGTTCCTTCGGGCTCTCTCACAGGTCTGCACATCCCTTCGATCTCCAGGAACCTAGTTGGTGTCGGCTGCCTCCAGGACCTTGGCGTCACCACTACGTTCCCTGGTCACGAGCGGTACGCTGTCTGTACCGAGGCCGCCACTGGTGCCCCCCTTACCACGTTCCCACGGGACCCGGTGTCCGGCCTTTTCATACTGGACACTGTGCCTTCCCCGGCTGGTACGCCCCCTGAAGTGGTTGCGTCCACTCAAGTTGCAGCGGCCTGCTCATGTATGTCACTCACTCACCCGACCCTCCTTTGGCACCACCGCCTAGGTCACCCTGCGCTCCCGCGTCTGTGTCACATGTCACAGCACGGTCTTGTCCTAGGCCTCCCCGGGTCATTCCCCGAGTTTCCCTCTTCCCCAGCCCCACCTTGCACGCCCTGTGTCGAGGGCCGGCTCCGCCGTGCTCCTCACTCCTCCTCGTTTCCCCATACTGCTGCACCACTACAGACTCTGCACATGGACGTCTGGGGCCCCGCCCCTGTCCATGGGCCGCGTCGAGAGCGCTACTTCCTAGTGCTTGTCGACGACTACACGCGCTACACCACTGTGTTCCCCCTGAAGCGGAAGGCCGACGTGCCTGACGTTCTCATCCCGTGGCTTGTCTCTGCGCGTGTCCACCGCGGTCTCCCTGTCTTGCGTCTCCACTCCGACCGTGGTGGCGAGTTTACCTCTGGTGTCCTTGGTCGTTTCTGTCCTGCGGAGGGCATCACCTAGACGTTCACCTTGCCGGACTCCCCGCAGCAGAATGGGGTCGCTGAGCGACGCATTGGTTTGGTCATGGAGGTGGCTCGCACCTCCATGATCCATGCCGGTGCACCCCATTTTCTGTGGCCGTTTGCTGTTCGCTACGCCGCTCACCAGCTTAACCTCTGGCCGCACCCCCAGCAGCCGCAGGTTTCGCCCACCCTTCTTTGGTCTGGGTCCCTTGGTGACGCGTCTGCGTTTCACGTCTAGTGCTGCCTTGCTCACGTTCGTGCCTCCGGCACGGACAAGCTCACTGCCCGCACCCTTCCCTGTGTCTTCCTCGGTTTTCCCCTTGAAGCGTCTGACTGGCACTTCTACCACCCGCCGTCTCACCAGTTCTTTTACTCCCACGACATCACCTTTGACGAGTCCGTCTCCTTCTTCCGCTGCTTCCCCCACCGAGTTCCCCCAGTTACCCCCCCCCCTATTCCTGGTCACCCCTTCCCCGGTAGTCCCTGCCCCTCCCCCTCCCCTCCCCGACCTGCCCCCTCTGGTGTGTCCCACATCACCCCCCTTACGTCGGTTGTCCCAGTTGAGGTCTGCTGACTCTGGTGGTCCAGCAGCGCAGTCCTCGCCGCCTGCCCCTCCTCTGGTGTCTCCTCCTCCGCCTCCTCCGTAGCCGCCGTCGCCACCGCTGTCGCGGCCGTCGTCACCGCCGCCGCCGCCGCCGTTGCAGCCGCCGCCGCCGCACCCGTCGCCGCAGCAGTTCGTTGACTCAGGGGGTGCTGGAGTTGGGGTGGGTACTAGTCCTGAGACTCCTGTCGTGGCTTGTCCCGGCGGGCCTGGGGGTGGTACTGGTGCTCGAGGGGTTCTGAGCTCTGGGGGTGTTCCTTCTTGGGGTGCTGGAGTGGAGTATTCTGGAGGTAGCCGTCCGGCAGCTTGCGGTCCCGGTGTCGGTGTCGCACCGCCACAGCAGCCGTCCCCGCCGGTGTCAGCTCTTCGCCTGCTTGGCCTTCCGTCCCCTGACCCCGCGTCTGTGCCTCCTCATCCTCCTCTCTACGGCCTTGTGTTCCTTCTTCTGGACTCGTCTCCGGCTCGTTTCCCCCCTCCTTCCGCTCTTGTGTCCCCTCCTCTGTCTCCTGACCCGACGCCTCCGTCTCACGTCTGGCCTCGCCGTCCCTCCCGTGCTCGACATGTCTCCCCTGTCTCGCACTCTCACCCTATGTTGCTTTGTTCCCACATGTCTCGTCCTCCCCTTCTCCCGTCGCCTCCTCCGTCCTCCCTTGTTATTGCGCCCCCCCCTCTGTCTGACTACCTGCGTGCCGTTCGTCCTCTTGTTCCTCGGGTCCTTGCCTCTCTCGTTACCGACCCGTCTGTTCCGGTTTCGTGTCTTCACGCTCTTGTTGCTGCGGTCGCTGACTTCGCCTCTACCCACCGCCTTGACTACGCCACCGCTCTGGTCTCTGACCCTGCATGTCCTCCATCTGTCGGGGGTGCTCCTGCCCTTGGCAGTGACGTCCTGGAGAGCCGCATGTGTTCAAGGCGCGCTACGTGGCTAGAGGTTTCCGTCAGCGTGAGGGGGTGGACTTCTTTCAGACTCTTGCTCCGACCCCGAAGATGACTACTCTTCGGGTGCTGCTACACGTAGCAGCCCAGCATGACTACGAGCTTCACTCCCTCGATTTCTCTACTGCGTTTCTTCAGGGCAGTCTACACGAGCAGGTCTACATGCGCCGCCCTCAAGGTTTCACTCGTACCTTCCCTCCTGGGACCCAGTGGCTCCTGCGGCGCTCCGTCTACGGCCTGCGACAGGCTCCTCGTGAGTGGCACGACACGCTGTGTGCTATCCTTGCTGACCTGCAATTCTTTCCGTCCTCTGCAGACCCCTCGCTCTTTGTTCGTGCAGGCTAGACTCCGTTCTACATCCTTGTTTACGTAGACGACCTGGTCTTCACCACTGCAGACAGGGACGCACTGGCCTCCGTGAAGGCAGAGCTGCTGAAGAGACACACTTGCACTGACCTTGGAGAACTGCGCCATTACCTTGGTCTGCAGATCTCCAGGGACAGAGCAGCACGCACCATCACCTTGACTCAGTCACACTTGGTGCGCCAGGTCCTTCAGAGGTTCAGCCTTCAGTTCTCCTTTGCACAGCCCACCCCTTTGTCTGTAGACCACAGGCTCTCTGCTCCAGTTCTTGAAGAGTCGGTAGAGCCCAGTAGCCCTAACATAGAGCTGGTGGGTTGCCTCATGTACCTGATAACTTGCACTCGCCCAGATCTCGTATACCCTTCTCAGCATCTTGGCTCGCTTTGTGGCCACATGTCGACACCGACCTCAGCACTGGTCTGCCGCTAAGAGGGTTTTGCGTTATCTTGCAAGTACATCGGGCTTGGGGTTAGTGCTTGGAGGGCGTAGGCCAGTGGTCCTTACTGGGCACACAGACGCTTCGTGGGCAGACGACGCCGAGTCTCTTAGGTCCTCGCAGGGCTACTACTTTAGCCTTGGTTCAGGTGCTGTCTCGTGGAGAGCTACTCGCTCCTCGTCTGTTGCCCAGTCCAGCTGTGAGGCCAAGATCTACGCCGGTGCCATGGCGGCACAGGAGCTCCGCTGGCTGACCTTCTTGCTCACTGACTTAGGTGAGCGGCCTAGCTCTGCCCTGGTCCTGTACGCTGACAACAGGGCCATGATCCTCATGTGTCAGGTTTCGCGACTCGAGGGCAGAGCGAAGCACATCCAGCTGCGGTACTTCCTCCTGCGTGAGCTGCAGCAGCGTCGCCAGGCCCGCGTAGTCCACTTGGCCTCCGGTGCCAACATAGCTGATATCTTTACGAAGGCGCTTGCGCCTAAAGATCATCAGCGGCACTGTGTACAGCTTGGACTTGTTCCTGTAGCTTTTTACTTGCGAGGGCCTTGATTGTGTACGAACCTTTTCTATATATATTACCTTGACTGGCCTTGTGGCCTCTCCCAGTGGCTGGACTAGTAGTGCCGCCCTGGTCTCGCTCTTGCTTTGCCTGTATTCCTTTGACTGGTCTTAGGCCTTTGCCTCAGAGGCTGGACTAGTAGTGCCGCCCTGAGCTGCTTCTTCTCCTGTTAGGCACTGCCCCTATATAGTCTAGGGGGTGTGAAAAATGTAACTTATGTAGTTATTGTAGACTATATTGGATTGTACCTTAGAGGGTACAATCCCTAATCTATTTATCCCTGTATCCTTCTATTCTACTCAACTACTCATTATGATATTCCGAACATGTGCATCACGTGGTTACGATTCACTCAAGTGTTCCTATATCTAGCCTTGTCATTCATTGTACTGACGATCTGTAATTCTGTCATTTCGAATCTCGATATTCACTTCCGCGCTACTCTGGGTTTCCACCCATAACAATTAATGTATATATTATTTACCGAGGCTTTCTACAAAGCGTACGACTAGATCACTCCCGAACCAGCGCTTGGGTTCCAGACCTGTCGATACATCGAGGCCCTTCGGTACTCTTCCCGAACCTTCTCATCGTACGTCCCAGGATTATCTTAGGGCTCCTATATATTGACTTGTATTTCATTGTGTTGCGGTTCGCTGGTTCACAGTTTCGCCATTGCCCTTCGCGCTACTCGGCAGTTCCATTCATAACAATTACCCCTTTCGCTTGCTACACCTCGTCGCGAGACCAGCTCTCGACGTTGTCGCCGTGGCACGAGATTTGAATTTCTTATTGCAGTCTCATGCATCCAACACTCAAGCAACTCGATTTGTTGATTGCGTTTCCTCACTCTCCGTTCCTCGGACGCACAACTGGTCAGTCACGTCCGTCCATCTTGGCACCTTCGTTCCATTCGAATCTCCCTGATTTGGAGCTGTAGGTGGCGTTAGTCTCGCGACTTCGATTTTCGAGCATTCCGCTGCACCGCACTCGTCTCCTCGCGAACCGCCTCATGGTACGAATACGACGGAGCACTTACATCCGAAAGGTATTGGAAAGGGGAGTAGGCATGGACCAGGAAAACCTGCTGACGCGGAAAACGGATTCGTCCAAACCGGTTTGCTTCGTCCAAGCCAGTTTGGTTCATCCAAGCCGGTTTGGTCCGTCCAAGCCAGTTTGGTCCGTCCAAGCCGATTTGGTCCGCTCAAGCCGATTTGGTTGGCAGTCTAACGGCGACGCCAAGGTCAGCGTCGGCGAGGGGATATGAGCTCCTTGGATCCTCGCCTCCTTCCCTTTCCCTTCCCAAGCCCTTAGACGACCCTTCGGCTTCGGACGCGAATTCCAGAGCCACCGGGAGAGTCGGGAGTGACACAGGGCTGCCACGTGGGGCAGCAGAAGCCCCGCTCGCATTTCATCCCTTTTCTGCGCCCTCCCCTCACGAGTCTTCGGATAACCCTGCAGAGTCGGGGTTGACAAGCACAGGGGGCGCAAGGAGCAGCAGCCCCCGGGGCCGCACGCATTTCATCCGTCCTCCCCTCAGGAGCCCTAGGACGACCCTGCAACGTCGGGCCCAAATTCCAGAGAAGCATAAATAGCAGCAGGGTGACGTGCGCAGGGGGGCATCAGGAGCACCCACTGCCCCGCTCGCGTCACTGCGGCCTCCCCTCAGGAGCCCTCGGACAACTCTGCGGAGTCGAATCCGCCTATTCGAGGCAGCCACAAATAGCAGCACGGTTGAGAAGCACAGGGGCGCTCCGTGTAGAAGCAGCAGCCCCGCTTGCATGTCATCCTTCCACTGCGCCCTGCCCTCAGGAGGATTTGTGGGACAAGCCTCCTGTGTCGGACGTGCTTCAGTCCCAGACCAGCAAAGCAGCACGTGAGGAACAGCAAGCATTCTCCCTTTTTTGTACCCCTCCCCTCTCTTCTCCCCCCCCTCCCCAACGTGTCCCGCTCTCCTTGTCCCTCTCTCGCCCCCCCACGAGTTATCAGGCAACGCTGCGCTGTCAGACTCGCACCCCCAGACCACCACAGGGGGGACACCAGCAAAAGCTCCACCCCTATTTCACTTCGTTGCGTCCTCCTGTCCTCCCTCTCGCCCCCCCCAGGAGTCATCAGGGAGCTCTGCAGCGTCAAACCCACTGTTGCACGCAATCACAGGGAGGACGCAAGCCAAAGCTCCACCCCTAGTTCACCACGCTGCACCCTCCCGTCTTCAGAGTCACCCCTCAAGAGTCCCCAGGCAACACTGCAGCGTCGAACACACAGGCTCATACCACCACAGCGGGGTGGGACGCAGGCAAACGCTCCACCCATACCATCCCACTTCGTTCCGGCCTCCCCTCTTCCCTCTCAACCCCCCAGGAGTCATCAGGCAACGCTGCGGCGGCGTCGGACCCTCAGTCGCAGAGCACCACAGGAGGCACGCAGACAGAAGCAGCAGCGCCGCACAACGTTGCTGACCTCACCGCCTTTGTCAGTCGCCATGCCATGCCATGCCATCCCATGCCGTGCTGTGCCATCCCATGCCGTGCCGTGCCATCCCATGCCATGCCATGCCATGCCATCCGCGCAGATGTGTTGCTTACCACCATATGCCAACCTTCATCCCCTGGCAAGACGAGCATGTGATGCTGTATGGATGGGTCTTGATGTGCTGTGATGCGATCTGATACTATGTGGCATGTGGGTTGTACCCTAGCAACGAGCTTGACTAGGGATGAGCCATGCCCATGATTCTTGGCGCTTGTAGTGCGGCGCGTTTGCGATGCAGGGTTCTTGTGATGCGATGTTCTTGTGATGCGATGTTCTTGTGATGCGATGTTCTTGTGATGCGGTGCGCTTGTGATGCGATGTGCTTGTGATGTGGGGTTCTTGCGATGCAATGCGGTGTGCATGCTGAGTCACATGGGGATGGCCTGGGCTGTGCTTACTCAGTTTTCTTGTCCTCCATGTGTTTTCAATGCCCTTTCCATCCCTGCTGTGTTCCTGTGTCCAGGTTCAAACCCTCCTCCAGCAAATGGTACGAGTCTTCATCCTTCAATATTGTGTTCACTTCACCTCTTTTCCATCGTTTTTCTCCATGTCAAACCTGGGTCGCATGTAACTCCCGATCGCATCATGCCTCAGCTCAGGCGCATCTGTCCAGTGGCTGGTGAATCCAAAGCCAGCATGTGTCGTGGCCGCCGCCAGCTTGCGATCGTCCATTTGTTCCATTGAAGCTCTCCATGATGACCATCTATTGGAATGTCTTTGGCCCCCCCAAACCTGTCCTCTCTACTCCTCCCTGCTCTCTCTTTCTCGTCTCCACGCCGTGTCATCACACTTGTCTCATCACTGTCGCACTTGTCTCATCTGCAGTTATAAGGTTTTACGCTGGCCTTTATTTCCATTTCTCTCCGCCCTCGCCTGCAGCAAACTTGCTTTCAGACCATGCCCGAGACAATCATCTCAAGGAACATTCACCTCTCCTCTCGGTCCTCACCTCTCTTTCCACCTACTCCACCTCTCTCTCACCCCCCTGTGCATTTCTCTTGTGGCAGCAAACTCGCTTCCAGACCATGTCGGAGACAATCATCTCAAGAAATATCCATCTCACAGGCCATCATTCCCCCTATGCCCTTTTCCTGCCTCTCCTTCGCTCTATCCCCGCCCCCTCACTCTCACCTTCACCTTTCACAGTGCTTCTCTGCACTCACATCATATGTTTGTATTCGTTACTGCTGCTTTGGTAAAGTCCAATGTGCTTGTTTCCTCTTTTCCTTTTTCTCCTTCGCCTCTTAATGTTACACTGGGCTGCCATGCCTGTTCTTTTCATCCTTAACTCACTCTCTCCTCTCTCTCATTCTCCCTCCTCCCCACTCTCATTATCCCCCATCCCTGCTCACTCTCCCCTGTTCTCCCACTCTATCTGTTGCTTCATTACTGCTCTTTCTGTCCTCCTCCATCTCCATTCTGTCTGCCTCCTACTTCCAACCAATATCCTCCTCTCCTCCTCCTCTTGCTCTCCTACTCTCCCCTCTCTCTCACTTTTCACCCTCTCTCATCTTTACTGGTACCACTTTTTCATTTTTCCTCAAACACTTGACGAGATGGGTACGCGCATTGACGAGCTAGAGCGGAACGTGAGTGAGCTTATAAAGGAGACAGGAGGCACAGACCCATCTGCAGCAGCCACAGCACCTGCCAAGGTGGAGCAACACGAGTCGTAGCCGTGGCTGGCTGTTGCTTCGCTGGAGGAAACTAACGGATGCTGCTGTAGAGAAAACCAGCCAGGGCAGTAGGTTGTGGTGTTACAAGAGAGGAGCCTTGTGAGTGGACTCATCAGCCACCTGTGCGTGTGGGGCAGAGCTGCCTTGCCAGATGAGGATCACCAGTGGCAAGAGCCTGAACATGCCATTAAGCCGAGGGCGATGAGCAGGCGCGTGCTGTTGCGGTAGGAAAGCAGGCTCAGGAGGCAAGTGTGGGAGCCGCGTGTCAAACATATATTGTATGTTTCTGTAGACTATATAGGGTTGTGCCGTAGGGAGTACAACCCATTAGGTTATATTCCCTTCTATGCCTTGTTCTAGACATTCTTTCACTTGAACATGGTATCATGAGTAGGTAGGTCCCCCCCCCTCCCCCCCCCTAGCGCTTCCGCCCTCGGTCCTAGCCGCCTCGTCGCCCCGCGGCCCCGTCCCCTAGCGGCCCCGCGGCCCCGTCCACTAGCAGCCTCGCGGCCCCGTCAGCTCGCGGCTCCACAGCCCCGTCCCCTAGCGGCCCTGCGGCCCCGTCACCTCGCGGCCCCGCGGCCCCGTCACCTAGCGGCCCTGCGGCCCTGTCACCTAGCGGCCCCGCGGCCCCGTCCCTAGCGGCCCCGCGACCCCGTCCCCTAGGGGCCCCGCGGCCCTGTCACCTCGCGGCCCCGCGGCCCCGTCCCCTAGGGGCCCCGCGGCCCCGTCACCTAGCGGCCCCCCGGTCCCATCCACTAGCGGCCCCGCGGCCCCATCAGCTCGCGGCCCCGTGGCCACGTCCCCTAGCGGCCCCGCGGCCCCGTCACCTCGCGGCCCCGCGGCCCGGTCACCTCGCGGCCCCGCGGCCCCGTCACATGGCGGCCCCGTGGCCCCGTCACCTAGCGGCCCCGCGGTCCCGTCACCTCGCGGCCCCGCATCCCCGTCACCTTGCGGCCCCCCCTCCCAGCCGGCCCCGCCTCCTAGCCGGCCTTGTCGCCCAGCCGGCTCCGTCGCCTTGCCGCCCGCGGCCCCGTCTTCTAGACGCCTCGCCGCCGTCCTCGGCTCCTCTGCACCGCGCTGCACCGCCCGGCACCGCTCTGCACCGCACTGCACTGCACGTCATCGCACTACACCACTCTGCACCGCACTGCACCGCCCTGCACCGCACTGCACTGCACCCTACTGTACTGCGCCTCCCTCCACCGCACAGTACCGCACTGCACCGCACATCACCGCTTTCCGTCGCACTCTCCTGCCCAGTACTATCTTTCTCCTGTGCTGCAACCATGGTGGCAGACTCGGTCCTGCGTTTTGATGCTGAGGGGTAGCCGATTGAGTTCGACTCGTGGCTCGTCGACCTCTATCAACACCTGAATGGTCAGCAGCAGGACGGCCATTCCCTGGCCATCCATATCGACGGTACACTCCCCTGCCCGGACCCCCCTGCTGCCCTCCCCGCTGACCCCACCTCTGCTGACCGTGAGTCCGCTGCCGCTGCTACCCTTGCCCGTGCTGTCTGGTTGTCGCGTGACGCTGTCGCACAGCTTCCGATTAGTCATGCCCTTTCCCTGTCCGAGCACCCCCGCTTTAGGTCCGTCAGGACTGCGCAGGAGCTCCTAGAGGCTGTTGTTGCGCACTATTCCACCCCACCCTCTGCCTCTGTAGGTCGCCTGATCCTGCCCATGCTCTTTCCTGACCTTGCGTCTTTCCCTACTGTCGCTGACCTAGCCGCTCATTTGCGCACGCTAGACACGACCTGGCGCGCTGCCTGCACTAAGGCTCGGCTTCGTGTGTTTCAGCCCCCTATCTGCTCTACCCTCTACTTGCTTTCCACCCGCCTCCCTGACCGCCTTGCTATCGCCCGCGATCACTTCCTTAGTCTCCACCCCACTGACCTCACCCTTTGTCGACACCCTGTCTGCCATAGAGACCCGTCAGCGCTCTATCACCCAGTCTAGCGGTACCGTGTCAGTCTCTATCTTTCAGGGCTGTGCCCCTGCTCAGTGCTCTTACTCCAATGGTTCTGCTGCAGTTGCTGAGACAGCTCCGGCTATGGAGACAGCCGCCGTAGTGCAGTTTCGTCTGGGTAAGGGTCGCCGCCCCAAGGCTGGGCGCGGCGGAGGTAGCGGAGGAGGGGGTGGTGCCGGTGGTGGAGGTGGCTCGCCCGCTGGTAGTACTGACGAGGGGGCTAGGGCTGGTGCCCTGGATCAGCAGCCCCAGAAGCAACAACTGGCTCCGCAGCTGGACCAGCAGCAGCAGCCGCAGTAGCTGCGGAGGGTCGGCCGTCTCCCGCCCGGGTGGCCTGGAGCTGGAGGTGACGGTGGTCGCAGTGGTCACTCGCGCGGCATGTTGTCGGGTGGTAGTCAGAGTGACGGGCGCTGCCAGTACCAGCTCCAGACCGGTCCTCGCCGCGACCTCGTGTGCGGTAAGATCGGTCATACTCCGGCAGTGGTGGCAGAGACAGTGGCCGCAGTGGCAGACGCAGTTGCTGCAGCGGTAGTGGCGGCAGAGGCAGTGGCTGCAATGGCAGAGGTGGCTGCTGCAGCGGCAGTGGCTGTAGCGATTGCGGCAGTGGCAGTGGCTGCAGCGGCAGCTGCAGCAGTAGCGGCGGCAGCGGCACAGGCAGCAGCGGCAGCAGCAGTGGCTGCAGTGGCGGCGGCTGTCTGAGGTTGCAGTGGCAGTGGCTGGCGCAGCAGTGAGCTGGCCAGTGATGAGCTAGCAGGCGCTGCTGGCTAGTAGCTTGCAACAGGTGCTGGCGGCGAGCTGGCGGACGCTGCTGGTGGCTACTGGCGTGGCTAGTGGCGAGCTGGCTTGCACTGCTGGCGGCGCGCTAGCTAACGCACTGGCTAGCTAGCTGGTTAACGTGTTGGCTAGCTTGCTGTCGCGTAGGCTAGCGCGTTGGCTGGCATACTAGCTAGCGTGCTGGCTAGCGTGTCAGCCGGTGCGTTGGCTACCAAGCCTAGGGGGTGTGTCAACATATATTTTATATATATAGTTGTTTAGGCTTGGTAGTTGTTCTACAATTGTGGATCCTACTCTAGAGAAGACAACTCCCCTTCTTGTATCTCTTCCTAGTCTATTCTCTTTTCTCTTGCCAAATTCTCTTCTACCTAGCTTAAACCTCCTTCCAACAATCATTTCCTACGACGCAGCGTAGTGGTCGCTCTCGGCAGCGCGGAAGCGCCATGGATTGCTAGGTATGGATGGTCCCGTCTTGTGTTCCTTTTCCGCACTTGTACGGTGTTGCGGTTTTTTTTCTAACCCCGTGGAACGTGGAGAGCAGGACATGCTTACCAGCACTTACAAAGGTATGTACGAGGTTGCACCATTGTTAGGCTTTTTTCCCATGCGTTTACTCGTAATAATCATTTTTTTCTCTCCTGTATAGAAAATCAGTTCTGAAAACAGCTTATATTTGCAAGTATGGAGTCACGTTTTTAGCTTCCTTGTTGGGGTTGTATATTGTTCTCTATTTTCAATCCACCAAACTTGGTAACAGTTATGTAAGTAGCACGTCGTCATATACATTTTCATCTTACGCACTAGCGTTTTAGCCTCTGTGCAGGAATCATTTCTTTTTTAACACTGCTTGGCGTGATCTTCCAGCATCATGAATTTGTCAGTAGTGCGTAGGCTTTTCATTATAATGTATATCGCATTTTGATGTTTAATAATGTGCTTTATATTATTAACAAAATTTGATTAAAACGAAAGTATATCAGAAACGGAAAGTTTTTTAGTGTCGATTGAAACGAACATCCACCGACATTGTCGGTTACCGATATTTAATATCGGTGTCCAAAAGTACGGGAGTACCGCACGTATATCAACTTTGGTACACCTGGAGCACATCCAAGGCCCAGCGCAATACGTGGCCCAATCAGAAACCACCGCCTATTAACGTTGACACACGGGCAACGGCCCACTCAACGTGGGCCGTGAACAGAGCCAACAGTGCAGTGTTATCATGACAGCGGTGACAAACATGCGGCACAAGACGAAAGATGTGCGCCGCAACCGTTTTTGCCACAAATTTCCAGCCACGCTCGGAATAGCGCTCCAGCGAAGCTCAGCGAGCCGTTCGTTGTGCTCGCAAAGGTGCGTACGCCTCGCTGGGTTTATTTGTGGCTTGAGCATCGCTGCATGAAACCGAACGCTGACTTGGCAGCGAAATGGAGTCGCGATGCCTCGATGCCAGGGGTCGTTCTCAACATCCGACAGCCAACCAAGGAACAGACTCGTAAAACAAATTCCCACAATCCTCGCAGCAGTTATTGTTGCGACACGAACCTTCAATTCGTAATGTAAGAAATCTTTAGAACACACCCCTAATATTTGAAACTGAAATGCGACTCCAAACCCTCGCCACATTTCACTGAGTATAAAAGGGAGCAAACCAAACCAGAGAAACTCACTCAACATCTCACCTGCCAACCACCACTCTGGTGCTACACCAGGGAAACTCACTCAAGCTTGAAAGCGCCGAAAATTAACACTGGGTAACTAAGTGAACAATGGCTCGCCAAAATATGCCACTCAAACCTACCCCGCAAAACATCAAAATGGTAACCTTCATGCCCGTGCGAAAGGCCCACATGCCCGTGACGATGCCGTGCGAAACCCCTGCGCATTTTTGTCTACCGGCACCCTGAAAAGTTGTGTTCCTCTGTCAGGCTCAAGGTGTACCACAGTTGGTGTAATACTGGCCCACCCGGCGAACTCTGACAGGCATCCAAAAAGTGGGAAATTCCTGCAATTCATGGTGCCACGTGTCAGTCACGCGAATGTCACTCTCATACAGGGGCTGGCAGGAAAATCGACAGGTCACTTTCATTGGGAAGAGATCAGTTTGTGTCAGGTATATTGGCAGGGGCGATCAGAATGCGTCAGGTGCCCACATCGTTTCGTATTTACACCCTCAGCCCGTGTTTACACGGTCGGGCCGGTCTGTACTGCACAACTTGTAAACGAGATAACATTCTCGCCATTTTTCGCAAGAGTATCGCATGGTTCATTTGCATTGTCTGCAACCCTCGACATAAATGCACTGACGATTGTCACGTAAGTATGGTTTGAATAAACTACGACATCATTAATAATTTAAGCTCGCATGATGAGAAACTAATTAATTTGGTAATGTTGGCGTCACTTTGAATGGGCGTTTCATATACATTCTGTTGATTCAATAGAAAATACAAAATATTTTTTTTAACTTCAAATTATATATTTTCTTCTCATATTTTTCTGGAAAAAAAAATCATATTTCATATACATTTCATATTTTTCTGGAAAAACCTAGTTATCATATATAGTGTTTTTATACTTAAACATGTAACCAGCACATAAGAAACAAATTTCTAGTCTGTACGACGTAATCTATTCAAGCCATACGTATGTGACAATCGTCACTGCGTTTTATGTCGAGGGATGCAGACAATGAAAATGAACCACGCGATACTCTTGAGGGAATTGCGAGAACGCCCTCTCGTTTACAACTTGTGCGATTCAGACCAATCCGACCGTGTAAACACGGGATTGGAGTATAAATACGACACGAGGTAGGTACCCGACGCATTCTGATCGCCCCTGCCAATATACCTGACGCAAACTTATCTCTTCCCCACTTTCATTCGTCACTTAAAGCCCGGATCCCAAGTTACAAGCCGCGAAAAGAGAGCGCGGCTTGGGTTCGAGAGAGAGGCTTGCTATTGGCTGCGAGGGTGACGAGAGCCCGAAGTCTGGAAATTTGTTTGCGAGACTCGCAGATGCAAATTGTACTTCGCAAACCAAAGCTCAAACAAGGTTGGGAAAGGAAAACGAAGAGCAGCTAAGCACAACAGACGGTACAGCAGCACAGCAGTACAGAAGGTAGGCTAACGTGTAACGCATGGCCTCTACACAATACGCGGGCCTAGAAACGACCTTCCCAACCGCTTTCCACAAATCGGCTACCTATGCTAGGTAGCGCGAAATGGGAAGGAAGGGTTGGGAGGGGAGGAATGGGATTGGTCGATACTTGGGACCAATCAGATTTTAGTTGTACAAATTGAGTTGGCGAAATTCCCAACTCACGGGATGGTTGGATTTGCGACCAATCAGAACCAGGGAGTTGGTTGGCAGTGCCAACTCAACTCGAATATTCTTATACTGTACACTATATGCTAATCTGAATATATTGCTGTAAACCTCTCATTGGTTGGAAATCCAACCCTTTTGCCACATAAGCTAGCTCACCTCCTTGGAGCCATGGAGGACGTTGAGCAGCTGCTAGGAGTCATTGGAAGGGGTCTGAGCTGAGAAGCTCATTCTCAACTTCCCACTCCAAGAAATCAATCTTGAAATGGGATTTTTCTCTAAGTCATGAGCTCTCCTCACAAGCTTCCCTACACTAGTGGCTTGTAGTGTGATCTCCTAGGGGAAGCCCTACCCAACCAGAGTCTCAAGCACTTTTCTTCAAGGGCCTTCCTCAAGCTTAAGCTATCTCTTAGAGGAGGTTCCTCCTAAATACTACGCTAGGGGATCGTTAGTTGATTTTGTACTCCATTTTATATCCTAGGATCTCGGATGTTGGTTTGGACCTCAACCTTTGTTGCCCATGATATAAGGGCAAGGGTTGTTACATTTGGTATTCAGAGCTACGTTAATCTTAAGCCTTGTGGGATTTTTCTTGATTCTTTTTTTTTAGAGGGGTGATTGGACTTCAATCCAAGACATTGGAGTGAAGATTTCAAGATATCTCAAGCTTCTCCAAGTCATTTTGAAGAGCTTCTTCAAGATCTTCATCAATTCCTCCACTTCTCAAGACAATTTTCCAGCACAACCTCTTCTCCTATCTCCACCATTCAAGATTTGAAGAGAGAACATTTTCTCTCTTATCCACCTTGTTGGTGGAAGACTCCCTTGAGGAGTGTGGCTCAGATTTGTGATCTGTTGCAAGATCTAGTTTAGATCTTGCCCTAGCATTGAGGTGCTAGGGATTGGGCAACAGATTGTATTTCTTGTAATTTCTCTTATTAAGTTATTCTGTTAAGAGATCTCTTTATAGAGATGGTCTTGCCCTCTCACTGCAGTGATTGGGACTTGAACAGATTTCTTAAGAGATTTTAAAGAACATTTCAGATCTATTGAAATATCTTCCTTGTTTTACCATGACTTCAAGTCAATTTTTGGAGAACTTTGAAAGGGAGGAGCCTAATGTGACTCCTGAGGGAGCCAACCTTGCTGCTAGTAATAACCAACAGCAAGATGAGGCCATGGCTGATATTGAATTGGTGGACCTAAATTTGGAGAATGAGGGAAATGAAGAGCATGGAGAAGCAGAAAGGATTGATGGAGCAAAGGGGGAGGATGATGGCATCGAGGAATGGTCGCTCTCCGATGATGTGGCTAAACTCCAGGCACAAGTCTCGGAGCAGCAGCTTATAATCAATCAACAGAAGGGACACATCAACTCCCTCAATATTGCTTTGGCGACACAAAAGACCGACACGACTAGGCTGCAAGCCAATCTCAATCTGGCATATGGAGAGGTACGGGATCACAAGCGTCTGTTACATAACAGGGGCAATCAAATCCAGGCCCTGGAGAAAACGTGCGACCAGCTGCAAGCTGCTATCACCCAACTGCAGACTACAACTGCCCAGCTGCAATCTACAATCGCCCCGATGCAACCTGCTATTGCCCACCTGCAAAACCAGTACCGGGATATTCGGCGGGGTCCTATCTACCAACACTCACCCGCTACTGCTGGCCCATCGGGCACCCAATCCAACCCGCCGCCTGTTGCATCTCCTTCAACTGCAGCACCTCAGCAGCATGTCCAGCCCATGGCAACGCCTTTTGGCTCCCTCCCCACTGTGCTCCCAAAATTCATCCATGGCAAGACGGATGTTGAGAACTGGGTGACAACTGTGGATGAAATGCTGACTCTCCACAATGTGCGCACCAACGCTCGTGTCACCGCCGTCTCTGGTGCGTTGGATGAGCATGCTAGCCAAACCATGTTTGCTAGCCGGAAACAGCTCGAAGCAAGTGGAATGTTTTTCACTTGGGACGAGTTCTGTGCTGCAATGAAAGCGGCTTTTCTTTTCAAAAAAACTACCATGGAGGTGCGTCGTCGCCTTGAAAACATCAAGTGTGGCGATCGCTCAGTGCAGAAATATGCACAAGAGTTTGAGGGCGTTCTGCGACTGATGGGCAAGCAGCTGTCTAAGAGTGAAGTTATGTATATCTTCTTCCAGAATTTGCCCCAGTCCCTGCAGGATAAGCATGTCACAAATGGCCTCAACAAATGGAGCACCTACAAGGAGCTCAAAGAGGCGGTTCAAGCAACGGACGAGACTGTTCGTATGCTAGCAACGCCTTCCACTGACCAGCCTGAGTCGAGGACTCAGGCGAGGGGTGATGGTGGCAATGGTGGTGGTGGCCATTGGAATTCCAAGGGGAAGGGCCATGGGTACAAGAGGCCCTTCCACCAGAATGGTAACCAGCAGCGTCCTCCGGCTAAGAGGGCGAATGGTGGCGGTTACAAAGGGCCGCCAAGGGACTTCTCTAATGTCGTCTGCCGAGGGTGTGGCCGCCGTGGTCACATGGAATTTCAGTGCCGCTATAGGAATATCATAAAGCATAGTGGTAAGCCTAAGGGCAACAACAATGGCGGCGAAGGACCTTCTGGCAGTAAGAAGGATTTTCAGAAGTCCAACTAGGGTGTGGGTACCTAGTTGGTCAGATAGATCGAGGGGATGAGGCATATGCTTTATGTGACGATGATTTACTAAAGCTAGAGAAGCTTGCTGAATGCAAAATCTCTTATTTGTTTGCCTCTTCTTTTAATAAAAAGTCAATGTTTGCACCTCGATCGTACCCACTTGATGCTATATCCATCGAAGCGTTACGAGATAAATTCTCAGTCGTTTACTGTGGCCTGGAAACATTGCCTTCTGTACTCGATGTTGTGAGTCGTTGTACTCAAGAGCACCCCCTGACTGCGGTCGCCGTGGTGACTCGTACAGTAAATGGCGAAACGTTCAAATCGCTTCGTGGATGGGTTGTGCTGGCGTCTTGGGACAAGGGACACCATGTGTGGTGGACCAAATCTGAATCCTTTGGACGAGCTCGCCACAATGTCAAGGTGTACTACAAACCCTCGTCGAACATTGTGGCATGCCCCATCCGTCCAATGCATCAACAAAATCTACTCCTTTCGGGTCGCGTTAACGGACATAGCGCAAAAATTCTTGTCGATACAGGTGCCACTGTTTCTCTCCTTGATGAAAAGTGGGTCACACCGCTTGGGGTCCTCGTTGAAGGACCGTCATGTCCCATTCGTCTTGGGGACGATAGTCTTATCCCAAGCAAAGGACGGACATTGATCGACATGGAAATCCAAGGCTATAGCGAAAAGATTCGCACTTACGTTCTCCCCTTGCTTGCGGGTGTCGACGTAGTCTTGGGAATGGATTGGTTACGTGCAAATGAGGTTATTTTGGATTTCCAGGATAGCACAGTTTCTTTCACCAAGAATGGTGAACCAATCCAGTGGCAGGTGTCTGTCGACACAACCATCCCGGTGGTTCAAATTACGAAAAGTGCAGACGTGTGCTTTGCTCTTGCATGTCAATTCGGACAGCATTACCGCGTTGCTAACACACTTTTCGTCGTACAGCTTGAGGAAGCTGGAACCCCAACGCCAGACATTGAGGATTTTCCACCTCAAATGAAGGTACTGGCGGATGAGTTTAAGGAGGTTTTTGAGTATATTCCAGACGGACTCCCTCCTGACCGCGCCGTGGGCCACACCATCCCTGTGGAGCCTGGAAAGCTCCCACCGTTTCGACCTCTGTATCGCTTCACTCCAGCTGAGTACGAGGAGGCTAAACAACAGATTGAGGAGTACCTCAGGAAGGGATGGATTGAGCCAAGCGCATCACCATATGGAGCACCAATCTTGTTCGTTAACAAGAAGGGTGGTGGCTTACGCATGTGCGTCGACTACCGCGCCTTAAACAAGATCACGATCAAGAACAGATATCCTCTTCCAAGGATAGAAGACCTGTTCGATCGACTCCAGGGTGCTCAGTGGTTTAGCGCGTTGGATCTGGCACAGGGGTACCACCAACTGCGCATCACTAAGGAAGATGTTCCCAAGACAGCGTTCCGTTCGCCGTTTGGCCATTTTCAATGGCGTGTGCTGAGCTTTGGCTTGACCAATGCTCCAGCCTCTTTTCAAAGGGCCATGAACGATGTGTTCCGCGAAGCAATTGGGCACTTCGTTCTGGTTTACCTTGACGACATCTTGGTTTATTCCAAGACTGAAGAGGAGCACACTCAACACCTAAAATGGGTGTTAGGAAAGTTGCGAGAACACAAGTTCTATGCTCGTTTATGGAAATGCCATTTCTACAAACGCAAGCTGGAATACCTCGGTCATCTTGTAGGGAACGACGGACTTAAAGTCGACCTCAAGAAGGTGGTGGCTGTTCAGAATTGGCCCGTCCCACAAGACGTGGGCCAGATCAGGTCCTTCCTAGGCCTGGCCAATTATTTCCGCCGGTTCTTGGAAAATTACTCAACTGTCGTTGCCCCTCTGGCGGCACTCACCCAAAAGGGTAGTGCATGGGAGTGGACTCGACAATGCCAAGAGGCATTTGACAAAGTCAAAACAAAGCTGACCAATGCTCCGGTTTTGGTATTGCCAAATCCTTCTAAACCCTATGAGGTGGTCACAAATGCCTCAACAGTAGGGATTGGGGCGGTACTCTTGCAGGAGGGCCGCCCAGTGGCATTTGAGAGTAGGAAACTCTCCCCGGCAGAGCAGCGCTATACGACGTCAGAACAAGAGTTGCTGGCGGTCGTGCATGCGCTGCGAACATGGCGATGTTATCTGGAAGGTGTGGAGTTTGTGGTCACGACAGACCACTGTCCGAACACCTATTTCTCTACTCAAGCCACGCTCACTCGGCGCCAAGCCCGCTGGGCAGAACTCCTTAGTGGGTTCACATTCGATATTCGATATCGTGCAGGTTCTACGAACATGGCTGACCCCCTCAGCAGACAGCCGATAGGGGCAGCGACTGGGCTTGAAGAAACCGAGGATAAGGCAGTGGTTGCTGCTTGCTTCGGTATTCTTGCCGTGGCTCGAGTGAGTGAGGTCACCTTCAGTGGTTTTCTGAAACGTATCCGCACAGGATACCATATTGACTCCTGGTTTCACAACCCACAAAATACGAAGGGCCTCAAGTACGAGCATGAGCTCTGGTGGCGAGAGAAAGAGATTGTGGTACCCCACGTGGGTAACCTGCGGAATGATATAATTGAGGAAGTGCATAGCACCAAGTACGGGGGACACCTGGGTATCAAGAAAACCCGGTGGGCCTTAAGTGACGTGTACTGGTGGCCTGGATTGGGGACTGAGGTCCAACAATTCGTGTCGCATTGTGATGCATGCGCACGCAACAAGTCAGACACGAAAAAGCCTGGTGGTTTGCTTCAACCACTGGAGATTCCAGACGAACCCTGGGAGAGTGTCTCACTGGATTTCATCACAGACCTCCCAAAAACACGAGACGGTCATACTGCGATCTTGGTCTTTGTGGATCGACTGACCAAAATGGTGCACTTCTTTGCTACTACAACAGACGTATCTGCGGAAGATACGGCCAAGTTGTTTGTAGCACACGTGTTCCGCTTACATGGGTTACCACGTGTGCTGGTGTCCGATCGAGATCCGCGCTTTACAAGCCGGTTCTGGCACGAAGTTACACGGACACTCGGAACGAAGCTAAAGATGTCGTCAGCCTTCCATCCCCAAACGGATGGGCAGACAGAGCGGACGAATCGCACTCTTGAGCAAATGCTTCGTTCATTCATTGGCCCAACTCAGGATGATTGGGATGACTTGTTACCTGTGGTTGAGTTCGCAGTGAACAATTCCGTCCATGAAGGTACCCATGAAAAACCCTTCATTCTGAACTGTGGTCGGCATCCCACGACACCTGCTACGCATGGGATAGGCGGACTGCGAGTCCCTGCCGCGAAAGACTTTGTGGCCAAGCAGCAAGAAGCGCTCAAGTCTGCTCGCCGCTGGCTGCAGCTGTCTCAGCAGCGACAAAAGTCTTATGCCGACATGAAACGCCGGGAAGTCTCTTTTGAGGTTGGAGATAAGGTATTATTGAGCACGAAGAACATTCGTCTCAAAATCCCTGGGGCACGAAAGCTGTTCCCTCAATGGATTGGGCCGTTCGAGGTGATCCAGCGTGTTGGTGTGGTAGCTTACAAGTTGAAGTTACCCGAAACATTGCAGATTCACAATGTCTTCCACGTGTCTCTGCTCAATAAGTACATTGCTGAAGGCAAGTACTTACCTCCGCCAACGATCGTCCTCGGAGAGGAACTCTTTTATGAGGTCGAGCGTGTGCTCATGCACCGTGATCGACAGCGCGGCCGCAAGACAGTACGCGAGTTCCTCATTAAGTGGATAGGCTATGGGCCTGAACACAACTCATGGGAGCTAGAGGAACATTTGACCGAAACTGCGGTTCACGGATATCTGGAAGACCTGGCTCAAAGAGCAGCCTCACAACCAGTGGATGGTGTTGACCCTGGTCGTAATGTGATTCGGCGCGCTCGAAGCACCCGTCCCCAAAAGCACTCTACGGCAACGAGGGCGTTGCCACCTGGAGGGGGAGGAGTGTAACGCATGGCCTCTACACAGTACGCGGGCCTAGAAACGACCTTCCCAACCGCTTTCCACAAATCGGCTACCTATGCTAGGTAGCGCGAAATGGGAAGGAAGGGTTGGGAGGGGAGGAATGGGATTGGTCGATACTTGGGACCAATCAGATTTTAGTTGTACAAATTGAGTTGGCGAAATTCCCAACTCACGGGATGGTTGGATTTGCGACCAATCAGAACCAGGGAGTTGGTTGGCAGTGCCAACTCAACTCGAATATTCTTATACTGTACACTATATGCTAATCTGAATATATTGTTGTAAACCTCTCATTGGTTGGAAATCCAACCCTTTTGCCACATAAGCTAGCTCACCTCCTTGGAGCCATGGAGGAGGTTGAGCAGCTGCTAGGAGTCATTGGAAGGGGTCTGAGCTGAGAAGCTCATTCTCAACTTCCCACTCCAAGAAATCAATCTTGAAATATGATTTTTCTCTAAGTCATGAGCTCTCCTCACAAGCTTCCCTACACTAGTGGCTTGTAGTGTGATCTCCTAGGGGAAGCCCTACCCAACCAGAGTCTCAAGCACTTTCTACCCAACCAGAGTCTCAAGCACTTTTCTTCAAGGGCCTTCCTCAAGCTTAAGCTATCTCTTAGAGGAGGTTCCTCCTAAATACTACGCTAGGGGATCGTTAGTTGATTTTGTACTCCATTTTATATCCTAGGATCTCGGATGTTGGGTTTGGACCTCAACCCTTGTTGCCCATGATATAAGGGCAAGGATTGTTACATAACGCGTCACACCATCAACCAGCCACACTCCGGCAAACGCGCTGAACGCAACAGAGAGCATCCAAAGACGCCAGACATTTCCGCAGCCCATATTTCGCGTGCAATATCAGGACTTCTGCTAGCGTAAATTGTCTATTTCGCCAGCAACTCAAAGTAGACTCGACCGCAGGTCACACGCATATCGGATTTCCAATTTACTTTGTGAAGAAAAAATCGCGCGCACTAGTATCGGTGGATCGCAAAATGGCGCGCCATTCGAGATAAGCCCATGCGTTCCTTTAAGCGTAAGGAATACGTAGGATTCTTCGCAAAGTCGGCAAACTAAGGCTCTGAAATAGACGAGAGGCAGCACCTCGAGTTAGGGCGTTATAACAGTGCAGGGCATATCCGTGACGCATTCACGACCGACGGCGCAGAGCGAGAGTGAGGGGGACGCGCGGCGAGAGAGGGGGATGCAGAGAGAGACAGAGGGGGATGCGGGATGAGAGAGAGGGGGATGCAGAGTGCGAGAGGGGGGGATGCGGCGAGAGAGAGGGGGATGCGCGGCGAGAGAGAGGGGGATGCAGAGCGCAAGAGAGGGGGATGCGGTTCGAGAGAGAGGGGGATGCAGGACGAGAGAGAGGGGGATGCAGAGCGCTAGAGAGGGGATGCGCGGCGAGAGAGAGGGGGATGCGTGGCGAGAGAGAGGGGGATGCGGAGTGTGAGAGAGGGGGATGCGGAGCAAGAGAGAGGCGGATGCAGAGGAGAGGAAGAAAGAGGAGGTAGGAAAGGGAGAGGACAGGGAGGACAGGGGGAGGACAAGGAGGGGGAAGGAGGGGTTGAGGACAGGAAGGAGGTGACGGGATTGGAGGAATGGAGTGAGGAGGACGGAGGCTGGAGTGCGTGGAGGAGGCTGCTGGGATATATTCCAGCGCAGCCTCCCTGCTTTCTTCCTCCCTGATTTCTGCCTCCCTGCTTTCTGCCCCCCTGCTTTCTGCCTCCCTGCTTTCTGCCTCCCTGCTTTCTCCCTCCCTGCTGTCTGCCTCCCTGCTGTCTGCCTCCCTGCTTTCTGCCCCCCTGCTTTCTGCCTCCTTGCTTTCTCCCTCCCTGCTTTCTGCCTCCCTGCTTTCTGCCTCCCTGCTGTCTGCCTCCCTGCTGTCTGCCTCCCTGCTTTCTGCCTCCCTGCTTTCTGCCTCCCTGCTTTTTTCCTCTGTGCTTTCTGCCTCCCTGCTTTCTGCCTCCCTGCTTTCTTCCTCATCTATTCTTCCCCCCTGCATTTTTCCCCCCTACATTCTTCCTCCATGTGTTCTTGCCCCCTCTCTCTCCCTTCCCCCTTGTTCTTACTCCCTCCCTGCTCTCATGCTCCCTGACCATCCCTCACTCTCTGACCATCCCTCACTCTCTGCCCATCCCTCACTCTCTGCTCATCCCTCACTCTCTGCCCATCCCTCACTCTCTTCTCATCCCTCACTCTCTTCTCATCCCTCACTCTCTGCCCATCCCTCACTCTCTTCTCATCCCTCACTCTCTGCCCATCCCTCACTCTCTTCTCATCCCTCACTCTCTGCCCATCCCTCACTCTCTTCTCATCCCTCACTCTCTGCCCATCCCTCACTCTCTTCTCATCCCTCACTCTCTGCCCATCCCTCACTCTCTTCTCATCCCTCACTCTCTGCTCATCCCTCACTCTCTGCCCATCCCTCACTCTCTGCTCATCCCTCACTCTCTGCTCATCCCTCACTCTCTGCTCATCCCTCACTCTCTGCCCATCCCTCACTCTCTTCTCGTCCCTCACTCTCTTCTCATCCCTCACTCTCTGCCCATCCCTCACTCTCTTCTCATCCCTCACTCTCTGCCCATCCCTCACTCTCTTCTCATCCCTCACTCTCTGCCCATCCCTCACTCTCTTCTCATCCCTCACTCTCTGCCCATCCCTCACTCTCTTCTCATCCCTCACTCTCTGCCCATCCCTCACTCTCTTCTCATCCCTCACTCTCTGCTCATCCCTCACTCTCTGCCCATCCCTCACTCTCTGCGCATCCCTCACTCTCTGCTCATCCCTCACTCTCTGCTCATCCCTCACACTCTGCCCATCCCTCACTCTCTTCTCATCCCTCACTCTCTTCTCATCCCTCACTCTCTGCCCATCCCTCACTCTCTTCTCATCCCTCACTCTCTGCCCATCCCTCACTCTCTTCTCATCCCTCACTCTCTGCCCATCCCTCACTCTCTTCTCATCCCTCACTCTCTGCCCATCCCTCACTCTCTTCTCATCCCTCACTCTCTGCCCATCCCTCACTCTCTTCTCATCCCTCACTCTCTGCCCATCCCTCACTCTCTGCTCATCCCTCACTCTCTGCCCATCCCTCACTCTCTTCTCATCCCTCACTCTCTGCTCATCCCTCACTCTCTGCCCATCCCTCACTCTCTGCTCATCCCTCACTCTCTGCTCATCCCTCACTCTCTGCTCATCCCTCACTCTCTGCCCATCCCTCACTCTCTGCTCATCCCTCACTCTCTGCCCATCCCTCACTCTCTGCTCATCCCTCACTCTCTGCTCATCCCTCACTCTCTGCCCATCCCTCACTCTCTGCTCATCCCTCACTCTCTGCCCATCCCTCACTCTCTGCTCATCCCTCACTCTCTGCCCATCCCTCACTCTCTGCTCATCCCTCACTCTCTGCCCATCCCTCACTCTCTGCTCATCCCTCACTCTCTGCCCATCCCTCACTCTCTGCTCATCCCTCACTCTCTGCTCATCCCTCACTCTCTGCCCATCCCTCACTCTCTGCTCATCCCTCACTCTCTGCCCATCCCTCACTCTCTGCTCATCCCTCACTCTCTGCCCATCCCTCACTCTCTGCTCATCCCTCACTCTCTGCCCATCCCTCACTCTCTGCTCATCCCTCACTCTCTGCCCATCCCTCACTCTCTGCTCATCCCTCACTCTCTGCCCATCCCTCACTCTCTGCCCATCCCTCACTCTCTTCTCATCCCTCACTCTCTGCCCATCCCTCACTCTCTTCTCATCCCTCACTCTCTGCCCATCCCTCACTCTCTTCTCATCCCTCACTCTCTGCCCATCCCTCACTCTCTGCTCATCCCTCACTCTCTGCCCATCCCTCACTCTCTTCTCATCCCTCACTCTCTGCTCATCCCTCACTCTCTGCCCATCCCTCACTCTCTGCTCATCCCTCACTCTCTGCTCATCCCTCACTCTCTGCTCATCCCTCACTCTCTGCCCATCCCTCACTCTCTGCTCATCCCTCACTCTCTGCCCATCCCTCACTCTCTGCTCATCCCTCACTCTCTGCTCATCCCTCACTCTCTGCCCATCCCTCACTCTCTGCTCATCCCTCCTCTCTCATCCCTCACTCTCTGCCCATCCCTCACTCTCTGCTCATCCCTCACTCTCTGCCCATCCCTCACTCTCTGCTCATCCCTCACTCTCTGCCCATCCCTCACTCTCTGCTCATCCCTCACTCTCTGCCATCCCTCACTCTCTGCTCATCCCTCACTCTCTGCCCATCCCTCACTCTCTGCTCATCCCTCACTCTCTGCTCATCCCTCACTCTCTGCCCATCCCTCACTCTCTGCTCATCCCTCACTCTCTGCCCATCCCTCACTCTCTGCTCATCCCTCACTCTCTGCCCATCCCTCACTCTCTGCTCATCCCTCACTCTCTGCCCATCCCTCACTCTCTGCTCATCCCTCACTCTCTGCTCATCCCTCACTCTCTGCCCATCCCTCACTCTCTGCTCATCCCTCACTCTCTGCCATCCCTCACTCTCTGCTCATCCCTCACTCTCTGCCCATCCCTCACTCTCTGCTCATCCCTCACTCTCTGCCCATCCCTCACTCTCTGCTCATCCCTCACTCTCTGCCCATCCCTCACTCTCTGCTCATCCCTCACTCTCTGCCCATCCCTCACTCTCTGCTCATCCCTCACTCTCTGCCCATCCCTCACTCTCTGCTCATCCCTCACTCTCTGCCCATCCCTCACTCTCTGCTCATCCCTCACTCTCTGCCCATCCCTCACTCTCTTCTCATCCCTCACTCTCTGCCCATCCCTCACTCTCTTCTCATCCCTCACTCTCTGCCCATCCCTCACTCTCTTCTCATCCCTCACTCTCTGCTCATCCCTCACTCTCTGCCCATCCCTCACTCTCTGCGCATCCCTCACTCTCTGCTCATCCCTCACTCTCTGCTCATCCCTCACTCTCTGCCCATCCCTCACTCTCTTCTCATCCCTCACTCTCTGCCCATCCCTCACTCTCTTCTCATCCCTCACTCTCTGCCCATCCCTCACTCTCTTCTCATCCCTCACTCTCTGCCCATCCCTCACTCTCTTCTCATCCCTCACTCTCTGCCCATCCCTCACTCTCTTCTCATCCCTCACTCTCTGCCCATCCCTCACTCTCTTCTCATCCCTCACTCTCTGCCCATCCCTCACTCTCTGCTCATCCCTCACTCTCTGCCCATCCCTCACTCTCTGCTCATCCCTCACTCTCTGCCCATCCCTCACTCTCTGCCCATCCCTCACTCTCTTCTCATCCCTCACTCTCTGCCCATCCCTCACTCTCTTCTCATCCCTCACTCTCTGCCCATCCCTCACTCTCTTCTCATCCTCACTCTCTGCCCATCCCTCACTCTCTGCTCATCCCTCACTCTCTGCCCATCCCTCACTCTCTTCTCATCCCTCACTCTCTGCTCATCCCTCACTCTCTGCCATCCCTCACTCTCTGCTCATCCCTCACTCTCTGCTCATCCCTCACTCTCTGCTCATCCCTCACTCTCTGCCCATCCCCTTCACTCTCTGCCATCCCTCACTCTCTGCTCATCCCTCACTCTCTGCTCATCCCTCACTCTCTGCCCATCCCTCACTCTCTGCTCATCCCTCACTCTCTGCCCATCCCTCACTCTCTGCTCATCCCTCACTCTCTGCCCATCCCTCACTCTCTGCTCATCCCTCACTCTCTGCCCATCCCTCACTCTCTGCTCATCCCTCACTCTCTGCCCATCCCTCACTCTCTGCTCATCCCTCACTCTCTGCCCATCCCTCACTCTCTGCTCATCCCTCACTCTCTGCTCATCCCTCACTCTCTGCCCATCCCTCACTCTCTGCTCATCCCTCACTCTCTGCCCATCCCTCACTCTCTGCTCATCCCTCACTCTCTGCCCATCCCTCACTCTCTGCTCATCCCTCACTCTCTGCCCATCCCTCACTCTCTGCTCATCCCTCACTCTCTGCCCATCCCTCACTCTCTGCTCATCCCTCACTCTCTTCTCATCCCTCACTCTCTGCCCATCCCTCACTCTCTTCTCATCCCTCACTCTCTGCCCATCCCTCACTCTCTTCTCATCCCTCACTCTCTGCCCATCCCTCACTCTCTGCTCATCCCTCACTCTCTGCCCATCCCTCACTCTCTTCTCATCCCTCACTCTCTGCTCATCCCTCACTCTCTGCCCATCCCTCACTCTCTGCTCATCCCTCACTCTCTGCTCATCCCTCACTCTCTGCTCATCCCTCACTCTCTGCCCATCCCTCACTCTCTGCTCATCCCTCACTCTCTGCCCATCCCTCACTCTCTGCTCATCCCTCACTCTCTGCTCATCCCTCACTCTCTGCCCATCCCTCACTCTCTGCTCATCCCTCACTCTCTGCCCATCCCTCACTCTCTGCTCATCCCTCACTCTCTGCTCATCCCTCACTCGCTACTTATCCCCTCAGTCCGTGTTTGACTTTCACCCTCTTCCCAGCTCTCACTTCTCCCCCTCTCCCAACCACGATTGCGTGCCTGTGATAGTGTTCAAGTCAATGCGGCAGAGGCCATGGCCGAGTTGGGCGATTATGAGTCATGTAGAGATCGATGGGGTGCTGGTGATGTAAAACTCCCAGGTGACGAGGCAGCAGCAGGGAAACAATAGGGAGGTGGATCGTGTGAGGAACTGTAAAACCAATGTGTGTATTGAACTTGGACACTCAAACAGTGTAAACAGAAAGCTCATAATAGACCACCTATTCCAGGTAATGTTGGTCGCAAACACAACACAACTCTGATCATCAGTCCACGCCTATGTGTTCGTGCCCCGGCAATTCTACCGACCAAACACTGTGTGCCTCCTGGCTGCCTTGTTTCTCCGCTGCAACCATCAATTGGTCTGCACGCTGCGTCGCCATCGTGTGACAACCTCACCGTCACGCATCAACCTCCATGGGCCACGTCAATCCGTGGCATACATACACATCCCACCATGCCCTTCCCATTCCCCCACATGCTCTCCCCTGTCCCACCATGATATCCTTTTGAGGCGCCTCAAAAGTCTCCCCTATCCCACCGCGATATCCCCATCCCCAACATGACATCCCCGTTCCCACCACGCTATCCCCATGCTCCACCTTCCACACTTCTTATCGCACCTAGCCATGCCACACCTTCCACGCTGCTTCCCGCCATCCAGAACAACTGCTGCCCCCTGCCCCGTCCATCTCCCTTCCCCCTTGCCCTCCCTCATTCTCATCTCTCTCCCCCAACCCCCCACCCCCCACGCCCCCCGCATCCTTCTTACCTGCCATGCTAGCCTCCTCACAGCCCTGTGAGGAGGGGAGAGTAAGGGAGAGGAGCAGGGGAAGACTGTGCAGCGCAAAGGGCGGCGAGACATCGCAGAGGAAGGCGAGAGCAAAGTGAGCTGCGTGGCGCTTACAGTGGAGGAAGGGAGAGTGGAGGGAGGGAGAGTGGAGGGAGGGAGAGTGGAGGGAGGGAGGGTGGAGGGAGGGAGGGTGGAGGGAGGGAGGGTGGAGGGAGGGAGAGTGGAGGGAGGTTTAGTGGAGGGAGGGAGAGTGGAGGGAGGGAGGGTGGAGGGAGGGAGAGTGGAGGGAGGGAGGGTGGAGGGAGGGAGAGTGGAGGGAGGGAGGGTGGAGGGAGGGAGAGTGGAGGGGGGGAGAGTGGAGGGAGGGAGAGTGGAGGGAGGGAGAGTGGAGGGAGGGAGGGTGGAGGGAGGGAGGGTGGAGGGAGGGAGGGTGGAGGGAGGGAGGGTGGAGGGAGGGAGAGTGGAGGGAGGTTTAGTGGAGGGAGGGAGAGTGGAGGGAGGGAGGGTGGAGGGAGGGAGAGTGGAGGGAGGGAGGGTGGAGGGAGGGAGAGTGGAGGGAGGGAGGGTGGAGGGAGGGAGAGTGGCGGGAGGGAGAGTGGAGGGAGGGAGAGTGGAGGGAGGGAGAGTGGAGGGAGGGAGAGTGGAGGGAGGGAGAGTGGAGGGAGGCAGAGTGGAGGGAGGGAGAGTGGAGGGAGGGAGAGTGGAGGGAGGGAGAGTGGAGGGAGGGAGAGTGGAGGGAGGCAGAGTGGAGGGAGGGAGAGTGGAGGGAGGGAGAGTGGAGGAAGGGAGAGTGGAGGGAGGGAGAGTGGAGGGAGGGAGGGTTCAATGAAAGGGATGGAATGATGGGAGGAAGAAGGCATGCACGATTCGGAAAGCACACAAGGACATTGCAGAGGACGGTGCGAGCTGCGTGGAACCCGGGGGTGAATGGGCAGTGGGGGGGGGGGGGCGAGGGGAGAGACCGAGAAGAAAGAACAGAGAATGCGCAGCGGGATGACGTAGGGGAGGAGGTGATAGGCCGCAGATCAGGAGGCACGGAGGGGAGGAGGAGGGTGTGTGGGATGGGAGACAGAGAGAGTGAGGGGGGCAAGCGTGAGCCCATGATTTACAAGGTGGAACGGACGCAGGGCATGCAGGTCGTTTCGACGAAACGATTTCGCCGGGGTGTACATGGAAAAGTTTTGAGGCGCCTCAAAACTAGATTTCGCCGGGGTATATATGGAAAACCACTCATCCCGGCGTGCTTGCATGTGGGCATGCGTACGCTGCGTGCGGGCGTGCGTGTGCGCGCGCGCATGTGCGTTCATAAAGAAGGTCAATCAACCTTGAGGTCACGCCATCAGCGCCCCCCGCTACTCACACACTCACATCCTCCCCTCCCCCTTCCCCCCATCACCTCCGCCTCCCCCTCTGCTCCCATCATCGCCCACACCACCGTCTCCTGCATGTGTGCCACGTCAGCAGCCAGCGAAGCCAGGCAGCCAGTCAGGCGCAGCGCAAGGGATAGGGATTCAATGGGTTCAAAAGCACGTGGGGGCGGGGTGGGGGCGAGTGTGAGTCATGAGGCAGTGCGGTGGCTGCTGCTGTTAAAAAGCACTGGCCAGCCGCAGAACCAGCGAATTGAATCGCGCCACGTCACCAAGCAACACACAGGGGCTTGTTGCTGCTATCCGGCATCCTCCCTCTTCCTCTTCCTCTTCTGCTTCCTCTTCCTCTACCCCCCCCCCTGCCCTCCTCAATGCCAGCTGCTGCCTCAGAGCCCAGTCCGCCAAGGCAGGGCCGGCTGCCAGACAGGCGTGGCACTGGGTGGCTGTAGTCTGTAGAGAGGAAAGAGACGGGGGAGATGGGGAGAAGAACAGAGCTCAGCACTCAAGGCACGACTGCCTCAACGCAGGGGCTGGCTGCCAGAATGCCATGGCACTGGGTGGCTGAAATGCAGCGGAGAGGGGGGAAGAGGGGGCAGAGGGAGGGGAGGGGGGAAGAGGGGGGAGAGGGGGGAGAGGGGATAGGGAGGAAGTCGCGCGAGATTTAGGGGGCAAGTTGTGGGCTTGATGGTAATCGTTAAGGCAGGGCGGGCTGCCAGAATACCGTGCTGGATGGGTGCAGCAGGGGAGAGGGGGAGACGGGGAGAGGGGGAGAGGGGGTGGGGAGAGAGCTGCGGGAGATTGGGGGAGCGGAGGTGGGATTGAGAGTAGGGTGCGGAGGGAAGAGTGCGGAGAGACGAGTGCGGAGGGACGAGTGCGGAGGGACGAGTGCGGAGAGAAGGCTGTGCGTGGAAGCACGCAAACTGCGGGAGCAACGATGCGAGATGAGGACGAGAGGCAAGCGACGCTGCCCCAGTGGTTGACAAGCGTTACTCGGATCGGGGTTACAGCGGTTACCCAAGGCTGCGTGGAGAGCAAGGCGCGTTGGAGATCCGCCATCCAATCTGATAACAAGATCTTGGAAAGAAACAGCAATTTTGCTATAAATAATTAAACAGAACATGTAGGTACAGGATCAGTAGCACAACTCTCTGACCAATCATTCATAATTACCTTGCAGGCTCAATCCCTGCCTGGTCCTTTTTCATCTCAAGTTTAGGACCTCTGCGTAACGATAGACACACACCAAAACCAAATTTACCTAGAATCTTGGGAAATTATAATCTGGGTAACTCTTACTCTTCATTTTCCCGATCTAGTCACTGTTTTCTTATATCAGTCAATGTTTTATCGAGTCGAAATCAGCAGCGTCAAACTTTTTGTTCAGTTTGATGCCGCATGGCGAAATCTTTCGACACGTGTCCAAGAAATGCGATGTCTCAAAAACATCGAGAGATAAATACTTCATGTCCAAAATTTGAAGAGAAAACTTCATAGCTAGAAGAGGATTCTGTCCCGGATTACATTCGCGCACAGCTCCGCGACGCGTTATTCAGATACAGACATGTCGATTAGGGCAGCCTGAAACAAAATATAACCCGCAGCGGCCCGATAATTCGACTTGGGGTGGCATCAACCCTATAGACACACAGAGCCGCGAGTTTATGATGGATGCCACCTCGAGTCGCATGCGGGCTCCGATGGGTTTGAGTTTTGTGGGCATCCCGAAAAAAAAACGTCATAAATAGTGACATATGTCTAGTTTACACCTTGAAGAATGGCTTGATATATTTCTGCAACGAAAAAAGATGTTTTTCCATTCGGGGATTTTCGTAACAGCCAGTAAATTAGCACACGTTCAGTTGCGCAATTTCGTCATTTTTGGACACGTGTCGAAAGATTTTGCCATGCGGCATCAAACTGAACATAAAGTTTGACGCTGCTGATTTCGACTCGATAAAACATTGACTGACATGATGAGAAAAGAGTGACTAAATCGGGGAAACGAAAAGTAAGAGTTACCCAGCGTATAATTTCCCTTCAATCTTCCACCCAGGCACGAACCTGGCCAAAATAACTCGTGCTGATCAATACACGTCATCTGTATCGGTGAAGTGGCTATACTCGCCACGGAGGCTGATGTCGTCAAGTTTCGCCACGTCCACCTTCATTCGCCACTCGTTTTCTTCGGGTTCTCTGGAAGTCGCTCCCGCAAGTTACCATTCGTCAAATTCGTCACCAACAGAGGCCAACCAGAATTGTCCGTCCTCCCATCCTCATCCAGCCACATTCAAATTCCAATGTTATCTCAACAAATTCTCTGTTTCCAGTTTCACCACCACCATTCACCAGCCATGGCGTCCCTCTGCGTCTCCCTGGAAGCCGCCTCTCTGGCCAGCAGGTCTGCTTTCCTGTAATGCTTTTTTTTCGCGTTAAATTTACGATCCATGTTTTTATGCTGAGTCATTTCCTCTCGCTCTCGTTCCCCCCTTCCGTGCTCATTCCTTCCTGTGTCTGTGTCTGTGTCGCTTCCCATTCTGCCATCTCACCCACTCTAAACTCCCCGTCCCCCCGTCTGCCCTCTTCAATCTTCCCCCCACACGTCCTCTTCACTCCCCCCTCAGCGCCATCTTCGCTTTCAAACGTTTTGGCGCCTAAAAAATGCGCTCGCTTTTCAGTTTTCGTCCTTCTCATCCCCCCATCTGACTTCTTCGCACCCCCCTCAGCGCCACCCTTGCTTCCTCTTGTTAGGCGCTAAAAAGGCCGGGCTTTTCTCATCATTCGTTTTTCTCCCTTCCGCCCGTCTTTCCCCTTCGCACTCCCCTCAGCGCCACCCTCGTTTCCTCCTCGCGCTCCCTCGTCGCTGCGCGATCCGCCTGCGCCGCACCGCCTGCGCGCCGTCTGTCGCATGTCGTCGCCAAGGCGTCGAGCGACGAGTCGAGCGACGGCAAGGCGACGACTCGCAGGGAGCTGATGCTTCGCTCGTCGTCCGCCGCCATGCTCGCCGCGCTCTTCCACTTCAGGTGTGGGTGATGATTGCCCTCAAAACGATGTGACTATGATGTGACTATGTGCGACGGCTATAACGGCATGGGTGTGTGGTTACGTCCGCCGGCATGATCGCCGCGCTCTTCCGCTTCAGGTGGGGAACAAATACGATCAGTGGAGGCGATGTGATTATGTGCGATAGTGATGTGACTGTGTGCGACGGTGACTGAGACGGGATTTCTGGCTGTGTTGATTGAAGAATCGGGCAGGCTACAGTGTTCTTCTACGGTTGGCGGTGGCGATTCGTGATTACGGCGAATGTCGGTGATACAGCATCCATGTCCATGATTCATTCGCAGTTCTGACCTGACCCCGGTTAATGCCTCTTCTTCCTAGGCGTCAGTCGCGACCACCTGTCCCTGGCGCTGTGCCCGTCATCTTGGTCTCTCCCCTTCCCCCTTCAACCCTTCAACCCCCCCCTCCCCTCCCCCCCCCCTCTCCCTCGCCCATCCCTGAACCTTTCCTCGTTGCACCTCTCCGTGGTACTCGCCCTTCCTTCCTGGGCGTGACTGGCGACCCGCCGTCCCTCCGTGGCGCAGGGATGGTCATGGCGATACGGATTCCCCTCCCCACCCCCCCTCGTCCCCCCCACCCCGCTGCCCCTCTGTGCACTCCCCACCCCCCCTCGTCCACCCCACCCCGCTGCCCCTCTTGCGCACTCCTCAGCGGCACGCGACCCTCCTTCCTGGGCGTGACTCGCGACCCGCCGTCCCTGGCGCTGTGCCCCGCGTCGCCCAACTGCATCTCCACGTCGGAGGAGATCAACGACCCCGGCCACTATGTGCCACCCTGGTGAGTGGAGTGGAGATTAAAGACGCGGGGCACTATGTGTCGTTTTGGTCCTGGTGAGTTTTCTTTTTAAGAGCACTGTGTGCCGCCATGGTGACTTGAGAGGATTAATTAAACCGTACTGCACCCATTCTCGCCCTTGCGTCGCCCAACTGCATCTCCACGTCCGAGGAGACTAACGACCCGGGGCACGATGTGCCGCCCTGGCGAGTCAATAGGAGATTAAACGAAAGAGTGGGGGTGGGGGATCAAAGCGAGGCCTAAACGAAACCAACGAATGGGACGAGGGCACGCGTTGTGCCACTCTGCACCCATCCACTTCCCCACCTTCCTTCCCCCAACTCTCCCTTTCCCAACCCTTCCTCCCCTCCTCCCCCAACACCGTGTATCGTCTTCCCTGCATTGTCACCTTTTCCCCTCTCCCCGTCCCATGCTGGACGGACAACCCCGGGAAGGGGCGCGGCAGGAAGAACCCCGCAGGCAGGGAGCGCGGTGGGTCTCTAAGCAACCTCACGACACCCCCCTGACTCTCTCATTCCAGCCCTTCTTCCTCTCCCTCTCCTGCAACCCTCCGTTTGCCTACCCCACCCCTTGCAGGACGTACAACCCCGAGGAGGGGCGCGGGAGGAAGAGCCCCGCAAGCAAGGAGCAGGCGATGGAGGAGCTGGTGGCCGTGGTGAGTGGTGGAGGGCTGTCGGACTTTGACTCGTGGGAGAGTATGTGTGTTAGCCAGCGCTGCTGAGTCGAGCCAACAACGAGTGAGCGAGCAAGCAAGGAGCAGGCGATGGAGGAGCTGGTGGCCGTGGTGAGTGGGTGGGGGGGGGCGACCTTGGAGGGCGGTCAGCGAGCGAGATTGGATAACCCGTTCACTTTCCCTCCGGGTGGCCCACAAACTTCTAGCCCCCCGTTCGTCACATCCGTTCACCCTCCCTCCACGTGGCCGCCAGTCAGCCTGACGGCTTCCTTCCCATCATCACTCACACCTTAGTCAACGCTAACATGCCGCCTGTTCTCGACCCCCCCCTGTCTCCCCTTTGTCTTTATCCCCTCGATACCTTCACCAAGCCTGATGGTTGGTTTCACCCGTACCTGCATCGCGCGCGCATTTGTCCCCACCAACACATCCCCTGCTCTCCAACCTCGCTTTCTTCCCCCCTCCCCTTAACCCCAGGTCACTTCCACCAAGCCTGACGGCTTCACCCCCACCATCATCACTCGCAAGCCCGACTACCTCTATGTGGAGTACGAGAGCCCGCTCATGGGGGTGAGTATCAGCATGAGGGCAACATCCGCTGTGCGTAGTAGTGTATGTGATGTGGCGCCATCACCATGCGCAAGCCTGACTAGCTCTATGTGGAGTACGAGAGCCCGCTCATGGGGTGGATGGCATGGGGTGGATGGCATGGGGTGGATGGCATGGGGTGGATGGCATGGGGTGGATGGCATGGGGTGAGAGACTAGTGGGATGCGTTGGGAGATAAGAGGGCAGTATCACCACTCGCCGGCCGGACTACCTCCACGTGAAGTACGAGAGTCGTCTCATGGGGGTGAGTATCAACATCACATGCAAGCTGCCCCTTCTGCTAACTGCTCTCTCTGCTATTTGCACCACTTGCTGTCGGCACCCTCTGCTTGTTCTTCTCTGTCCAACCAGCAGCAGCACCCTTCCTCCATTGCCTGGTGCTTAACATTCCGCCACCCATCCACCCCCTCGCCCCTCCTTCCCTCCTGAACCATGCAATGCTGCCACATCCTCCTCCCACCCACCCCACACTCCCCCCCACATCAGAACGTGGGCAACGTGGAGTTCTGGTTCCCCCTGGCAACCGCTCACTCGTGGAAGACATGTTGAGAGTGTTGCACCTAGGGGCTCACCCCCACAGCTTGCCCGCGTTCCTCCCTTTCCAGTGCGTGGGCGACGTGCAGCTCTGGTTCCCCCCCGCCAACCACTCCCTCGTGGAGTACAGGAGCGGGGTTTGCCATGTCCTTCTCTTATCTCCACACCTTTCCACCGCACTCCACTCCACTCCCCTCTCTCCCCCAGTACGTGGACGACGTGGAGTTCTGGTTCCCCTCCGGCAACCGCTCCCTCGTGGAATACAGGAGCGCGTCGAGGATGGGGGAGAGCGACCTGGACGCCAACCGCAAGCGCATCAAGGTGCGTTGAGGGCTGTCTTACAGGCTTTTCTTAGCTTGATCAGGGGCTCCAAACTAGGTGTTGTCACGGGAGCGCGTCGGGACTCGGGGCTGGGGGAGAGCGACCTGGACGCCAATCGCAAGCGCATCAAGGTGCGTCAAGGGCTGTGCCTTAAGATTTGGGTGCTCTAGTGTGCAGCTGTGTGTGCCCTTGTGGGCAAGCGCCTAGGTGTCACAGGCTGGGGAGAGTGTCAACCACAAGTGAATCAGGGTTGGTGATAGGAGGCCTGGTACACCAGTGACGCATTTCGGCTTGGGGGAGTGGCCTTTGCATTGCATTGCAGCAATCACAGCCGTCCATCTCTTCCAGGAGGCCCGGTACACCAGTGATGTATGGTGGCTTGGGCGAGTGGTCTGCGCTCAAACGGCCTAGGCTGCAATCACTCCCATCCCGTTGCAGCCATCGCACCCATCCCATTGCTGCCATCGCACCCATCCCATTGCTGCCATCGCACCCATCCCATTGGGTGGGCATCTCTGGGTAGACTTGACCACTTGGCTTTTCCCCATACCCTTCCCTCACCACCACATCCCTCCCTCCCCCCCCTTGGCACCAATCACAACCAGCCCTCACTCACTCCTCGCCACCGATTCCACCCATCCCTCCCTTCCAGGCTCTCAGGGTAGACCTTCAGGTATGGGTGGGCCTCTGGGCGGTTACAGCTGGATATTCTTTACCCTCACCCGTGCCTCTTGCTACCACTCCCACCCATCCGTCCCTGCCAGGCTCTGAGGGTGGAGCTCCAGAAGTATGGGTGGGCCTCTGTGGGTTACTAGAGCCACGCTGATGCGGTTACTGAGCTGCTAGAAATGCTACTGGCTGGGACGGGCATCCACAGATTGACAAGCGGGATGTTTCTGTAACCGTAAGCTCATGGACTCTTGGAGGGACCACTGCTGGTGACAGTTCACTATGCCCTGAGTCGATTTTGGTGGAGTAACAATTTTGGCAATGCAAGAGAATTTGAGGTTTCGTGTTCTACTCGATGGGTGTGATACAACCTACCGGTATATTGCTTGCGAGTATGGAGAGGAGACTAATACTTCCGGAATAACTTGCGAATTATTATCAACATGAAAACGACTCTGCCAAGCAAGAGACATATCAGGAGTCAAACAGAAGAGGGTTATGAATCGTTTTGTATTAATTATTTCCAACAATGATTCATGCGCCGTCATAAGCGTCTAGAAAACACCCCAATATAAATTACACCAAACAAAGTACACGTTAATACTTGCGTGTCAGCTTTCTCAGGCTGCGCAACCAGGCATGTCAGATGGCGCTGCGGTTTCTCTCTGTTCTCGAGCCGCATTCCAGTTGTGTCAGCCACAGCGGGAACCATTCACGCGCGTCGGTCGCCGCCCTCCCCTAAAATGCTGTTTCTAGCACTTCCCGCATTCCGCCGTCACACCAAACCAGATTTCCCTCTCAACCCACACAAGTCGAGTTCCCACTTCCGACTTTCTAGTCTCCACCTTTGAAGTCCTTCTGCTCCCCCATAATCTATCAGCTAACCATCCCAATTGAAAGCATCAACACCACTTCTTGCGCCCGACCTCTACCTTCAGCTGTTTGACGCCCCCGACGACCCTTTTTCTCGCATGTCACCATCGGCCCGCTCCCTCGCCTCGCACGATCAGCGCTTACGCCTTCCGCTTTCCGCCATGGGGCCGCGAGTCGCGGGTATGCCTTCCCTCGCGGCGAGGTTGTTCCTCCTGGCCTGCCTGGCGCTCCTGCTCCCGCTGTCGCACGGTGCGTATCTCAGTCGTATTGCTGTCGCACGGGGCGTATTTCAGTCGTATTGCTGTCGCACGGGGCGTATTTCAGTCGTATTGCTGTCGCACGGTGCGTATTTCAGTCGTATTGCTGTCGCACGGTGCGTATTTCAGTCGTATTGCTGTCGCACGGTGCGTATTTCAGTCGTATTGCTGTCGCACGGTGCGTATTTCAGTCGTATTGCTGTCGCACGGGGCGTTGTGTCATTTCACAGCAAGCACCACTCTCACTCCAGGGCACGTCTCCCTCACCTCCTCCCTCTCGTCTCTTATCGTCGTCTCGCCATCGCATCTGGCTTTAGTTCTAGCCGTCGCTTGTCGCCTCCACCGTCGCTTGTCGCTTCCACCGTCGCTTGTCGCTTCCATCGTCGCTCATCGCTTCCATTAGCATCTGCTGTTCTCCGCGCCAATGTTTATGTCTTCGCTTCGCGTATCTCGCATGTTTCAACACGTGTGTGTCATCCATTGATCGATTCTACCGTACCCTCCTTCTCTTGGTGTGACTGTATCGCAGGTAAGTGGGTGAGCCATCTGCCATCTTATCAAGCGTACGAGCAGCGTCTCTCATTGGCCGAAAAGTCAACGACCTGGACAATAACGAAAGAGGTGACCGATGACTCTGTTGACTCCGTTTACTCCACTGAAGAAGCCGCCTACTCGAACGAGGTGACCCAAGAGTCCTCACGCCAAAGCGCGCCAAGTCGGCCGTCGGCGTCCCCTCTGCTGCGCGGATCTGCGCTGGTCGCAGCGGCTGCCGCGGAATCTCTCTCCCGGGGGACTCGAGAGGCGGCTGACGCGCGGCTGGCCAGAGTAGCAACTGCGGCGGAGAGAGAGCGCAAGGCGGAGGGGGGTGAATGGGACGAGGAGGGGGGGGGACGGAGTGCGATGTGAGGGAAGGGATGCGACTGAGAGAGGGCACGCAGGCGCGCCGGCCGCACATAGCCCGAGTGCTGCATCGTTTATCTACACCTTCTGGCAGAAGAGAGGCCAGGAATATCCTCGTTACAAGCTAAACAGCATCATCCGTGCAAGGTCCTCTCTCGTAGCGGCTTCGTATGGTGTAGAGCAGCGACCGTGGAGGTGTGGTTGTGCATTTTTTAGGCGCCTCAAGAATAGCCGTGGAGGGGTGGTTGGGCAGCAGTAAAAAGCAGCAGACCACCGCCCAGCAAGAGACGCAGACTGTACGCAAAGTAAATAGCGGCGCTATGGTAGAACCCGCAGCAGCAACAGCCGAAAGAATCTTTCCGACAATAAGGTGTGCCATAGCAGCAGGTGCTGCCAGCCAGGGCCCCACATGCTCTCACTAGGGTTGGCAGTTTAGCAGGGGCAGTGTGCAGGCAGCATGGAAGGGAAGCACGCGTACGGCGCCACTGTGTGTTTTGTTGGTATGGGTCAAGGCGTAGACTTGAGCCCCGCACTACGACTGCACCATGAACATTATTCTGTTCGGCCAGATGGCATGTGTCGTATTATCGAACAACCTCCCTCCCCCCCCCCCCAGCAACACATGGCTCTTAGAGCGTGTTCTTACCAGCCTCTTCCCAAGCAACCTCTTCCCAGACTCGCGTGCTACAGTGTCGCAAATTTTGACGCGAAATGTTTCAGTGCGATTCCGCGAAGTGCGAAGTGAGATTCAGCTTCCCGAGATTCAGGGGCGTGTTTTAAAACCTCTTTTCAGACGAGCAGATTTTCAGACAAGCGCGAATCTGCTCATTAAATTTTCGACGCCAGCTGGTTTTATGTGGTTGAGAGTGATGGAACGCAAATATGAAACGGGAGTATTCCGAAAAGTGGTCCTGGGAACACGCTCTCAAGGTCGCGCGTGAGTCTGGGAAGAGGTTGCCTGGGAAGAGGCTCGTAGGAACACGCTCTTAGTACAAGCACCACGATCAGGCAGAACTCCTCTGATGAAATGAGCCTTAACCTACCCTCCTCAACCATCAACACTGCTCAACAGGCCCTCAGAACAGATCTCTCAGGCCCTCCCGCACCAAGCAGGTGGTGCTGCAGCCAGGAAAGGCAACAGAGATGCAATGGCGATGCAACAGAGATAACTAGAGGTTTTCCATGTTGATATGAGTTCAGATATAATGTTGTTCGGAATCAAACAACTGCAATTGCATAAACATTTCCAAAACTCGTAGCCTGCAGCCTCTCTTGTCTTCTGCTACACTGCACTTCATGCTCAACCACCTCCTCCCACTTCCAACGCATTTCGTTACCTTCCATTGATTAGGCAGTGGTGCTAGAAAAGGCTTTTGCGGCTCAATGTTAGGGTATTGGTGCTCCTCAGCTGGAGGGGGGTCCTAAAGCAGCCTTGCCCTGGGCTTGTAGCTGACAAACCACCACCACCCAAGTCCCTCATTTCGGAATCAGTAGCGTGTGCTACGCAGGATCTCAGAACCAGATTTGGATGGCTGCTACACATGTGTGATCCGTTAGATGAGAGGCTAGCTAATCTACTCAACACGGCGGCTCGTATATCACTAAGCTGCGCTCTAAGCAAAGTGTGGCATCTGGCCTTCCCTCTATGACACCTTAGTCCACATGCAGAGGACCTGGCGTCGCGCCCAGTAATGCGCTGTCGGCAGCTCAACTGGTAAGGTGTCTACCTTCTTTCCCTTGTCAGGCATGTAAAAGGTAAGCTGTGCAGCACCGGGCCTCCCCTCTGGACAGATTTGTCCACATGCAGAGCATCTGGCGTGGCGACTGGTAATGGGCAGCGAGGTAGCCCTCCATGCAGCCCGACTGGCAGCATCTTGTGTGTGAGATACATCTGCCTAAGTGCAACACCTAGCCTCCCCCCGGGACAGCTTGGTCCACATGCAGAGCATCTGGCGCGGCGACTGGTAGTGTGCGGTGAGGTAGTCCTCCATGCAGCCCGACTGGCAGAAGCGCCAGTTGTGGATGTAGTGGATGGTGTTGTTGATGCCGTACTGCACCACCCACATGCCCATGCTCACATCCTCCATCTTGAAAATCTGCGGAAGAGAGGGGAGGAGAGGGAAGAGAGAGGAGACAGGAACCCCGTTAGTCAGCGCACACATGCACATGCTCACGTCCTCCATCTTGAAAATCTGCGGAAGGGAGGGGAGGAGAGGGAAGAGAGAGGGGAGACAGGAACCCCGTTAGTCAGCGCACACATGCCCATGCTCACGTCCTCCATCTTGAAAATCTGGGGGGGAGGAGGGGGAAGAGAGAGAGGGGACAGGAACCGTTAGTCACCGCACACATGCCACCTCCATCTTGAAAATCTGGGGGTGTGTGGGGGGGGGAGGGGAGGGGTGTATACCTTGAATATCGCATTGCACCCACAACATCACTCCATCTCACCAGCAGCATTCATCCTTCGCACGATGAACTCGTGATGATATACCCAGAGCCATGGCGTGATGATGCACCCAGAGCCATGGCGTGACGGAGCAGTATGCCATGGTGTGGGATACATGCACGCTCTGCAATTCAACCCAGCATCTCTGAGACTCACCCGCAGCATCTTGTATTCCTTCATGCGCACGATGAAGTCCGCAATGTCTCTTGTGATGATGTACCCGGGGCCATTGGCGTACGGGGGGTAGTTGGTCTCGGGCCACTCCTGTGCATTGGGATGGCATGGGATGGACAAGTGAGGCACAAAGGCATTAGGAGGGGCACAAAGGGCACGATGAAGTCAGCAATGTCTCTCCTGATGATGTACTCGGGGCCATTGGCGGATGGCGGATAGTTGGTCTCGGGCCACTCCTGTGTGTGGAATGGCGTGGGGCGGCGCGGCATTGATTGGATGAAATGGAGCGGTAGGGCATGGCCAGCACGGCACACACCGGAAAGTCTTGCACGTGCACGTCTCCTACAAGGGCTTGCGGCCCTCGTTGATGTTGTCCAGGCACCGCTCTCCACCCCTAACCTTGCATTGACATACCTCCTCCGACACCGCCCACTTGCCCTCTCTAACGGGTTTGTGGAGCTCGCTGATATGAGGTCGTTGTTATTGCCCATGTGCAGCTCAATCATGTGGCTGACCTACCTCTTCCTCCCTCCCACACTCTCTCCCCTTACCCACCTCCTCAGCCACCGCCCATATGCCCACCCTCAACGGCTTGTGCAGCTCATAAAAATCGCCCATGTACAGCCCGCTCCAGTGGTGGTCGTGCGTCTCTTGATCTCTAGCTCTTCCGAACCCGCCCATGTAGAGCTAGAGCACATTTGCCCTCCCTGAGGGGCTTGTGGAACTCATTGACGTTGCCCATCCAAGCCCAGCCGTCCCCTGTGATCAATAATGTCCCTCTCTCCTCGCACATCCTCCCCTCTCACCTCTTCCGACACCGCCCATTTGCCCTCCCTGAGGGGCTTATGGAACTCGTTGATGTTGCCCATGTACAGCCCCCTCTGGTGGTTGGCGAATCGGATCTCGTCGAACACCGCGTCCAGCCGCACAAAGTTGTCGTCATCCACCTTCATGATGTAGTCCGTGCTCACGTTCCGCAGCTGCGGGGGACGCGAGAGGCAGGGGGGAGGGAGGGGGGAGGGAGGGGGGGAGGGGGGAGGGAGGTGGGGGGGGAGAGCACAAGCAAGGGGAAGAGGGTTACTACGAAGGCCACTTGTACAAGATGAAATCGTCATCGTCCACCTTCATAATGCAGTTGGTGGTGTTGTTGCAGAGGTGCAGGGTGGGGGGGTTGTTGTGGCTTGTCATGGTACGTTATGACATGTCATTGTACTGCCAAGTACGGCATGATGTGGCATGAAACGTGTCATTGTATTGCGTGGAGTTGTGCTGTGGGCATGCCCTGCCCTGCAAACACCACTCACCCCGAACTCACAACGGGCAATAGTTTTGAGCACCACGAGGCCATGGCGGTCGATGAATGGCATGTGATGGTATGGCATGTGATGGTATGGCATGTGATGGTATGGCATGTGATGGTATGGCATGTGATGGTATGGCGTGTGATGGTATGGCGTGTGATGGTATGGCGTTTGACGGTATGGCATGTGATGGTATGGCGTGTGACGGAGACGCACTATATAGCACAGACAGCAGATACGCCATGGGGTACACAAGGCGACCACTCACTCCGATGGCGATGGTCTTTAGCACCACGATGACGTAGCTGCCGATGAAAGGCATGCTTTGGTATGATCTGGCATGGCATGGCATGGCATGGCATGGCATGGCATGGCATGGCATGGCATGGCATGGTATAGAGGCGCATCACTCACCCCGAACTCGCAGATGGCGATGGTTTTGAGCACCACGAGGTCGTAGCGGTCGATGAAGGGCAGCACCACCATGTCGCCGTACAGGCTCGCCTCCTTCTCCACCTCCACGTTCACTTGGATGCTCGGATGCTGTGAGGGGGATGGCATGGGTTGGAATGGGATAGGGGGGGTGGGACACGGAACAGCGGACGATGACTGGTGACACCACCTTATTGCACCACCGTACAGGCTGGATTCCTTCTGCACCTCCACGCTCCCTTGGATGCTCGGGTGCTGGTGGGGGGATTGGCACGGGGTGAGACATGGAGCAGCGGTTGATGAATGGCAGCTCGACCATGTCGCCTTACAGGTCAGCTTCCTTCTGCACCTCCACGCTCCCTTGGATGCTCGGGTGCTCCACACAGGGTGGGATGGGATGGGATGGGATGAGGCGCCTATAGCAACTCCCTTTTGACATGCCTCGGCACACACCAGGAGATAATGCGGAGGCGGGGGAGCTTACCAGAGCCAGGAAGAAGCGAGCCGCCACCTCCCCACTGCGGATCTGTGGGTGTTGCAGCCAAGTCTTCCTCACTGCCGTCCGCTCAGCAAAGTGGTTGGTGGCGGAGAGGATCCCGATGAACATGCTCACGTTCGCGTCCCTCCGCAGAGGCGGCGCCTTGAGCGACTCGCTCGCCTCCAGGTCGGCGGTGCGCAGGGGCGGGGAGAGCGGCAGTGAGGTGGCGACAAAGGACTTGAGGAGGATGGTGCCGCTGATGGACACTGCTGTCGCCTCCTCAAGAGGGTTGCCCTGCACATGGGAAGAGAGACAGGAGGGAGAAAGGAGGGAGAAAGGAGGGAGAAAGGAGGGAGAAAGGAGGGAGAAAGGAGGGAGAAAGGAGGGAGACAGGAGGGAGAAGGGGAAGCGGAAGCAAATGACGTTCATTTTGACTACATTCGCTTCCCTCTTTACGGGAGGCGCCTTGAGCGACTCGCTCGCCTCCAGGTCAGCCATGCGCAGGGGCGGAGAGGGAGATAGGCAGCGATGTGGCGACGAACGACCTGAGGAGGAACGACCTGAGGAGGATCGACCTGAGGAGGATCGACCTGAGGAGGATCGACCTGAGGAGGATCGACCTGAGGAGGATCGACCTGAGGAGGATCGACCTGAGGAGGATCGACCTGAGGAGGATCGACCTGAGGAGGATCGACCTGAGGAGGATCGACCTGAGGAGGATCGACCTGAGGAGGATCGACCTGAGGAGGATCGACCTGAGGAGGATCGACCTGAGGAGGATCGACCTGAGGAGGATCGACCTGAGGAGGATCGACCTGAGGAGGATCGACCTGAGGAGGATCGACCTGAGGAGGATCGACCTGAGGAGGATCGACCTGAGGAGGATCGACCTGAGGAGGATCGACCTGAGGAGGAACGACCTGAGGAGGATCGACCTGAGGAGGATCGACCTGAGGAGGATCGACCTGAGGAGGATCGACCTGAGGAGGATCGACCTGAGGAGGATCGACCTGAGGAGGATCGACCTGAGGAGGATCGACCTGAGGAGGATGGTACCGCTGACAGGCACTGCTGTCGCCTCTTCTAGAGGGCTGCCCTGCAGGTGATGAGAAGAGAAGATGGGGGGTTGTGAGGTACAAGTGACGCGCCTACTTCACAGCTCAACAAGAATTTTATAACCAGCGTAGAAGCAACTCACCAAGCACCCTTTCTGTTGGAATGATGATGGCATGTGATTGCCACGTCCACAGCACACGTGGACTGATTCCATCCCACACTCCGCCCTCACAGCAAGCACAGAATGATTGATTTCCACTCACTGAATTCACCAGTCCACTCACCAAGCGGTATTGGAAGGACGCCACGTCGTTGTCATCCAGACACATGGAAGCCCTCCCACCCGGCGTGCACCACAAGAGGTGCCTATTAATACAAACACTGGTAGCGTACAAACCACTCACCGAGCGGTACTGGAAGGACGCCCGTGGTTGCCGTCCACGGACCCGTGGAAGCCCTCCCAGCCCATGCGCACCACGAGTGTGGTGTGTATCGAGTACATACTAGTACGGGCAATTCGACTCACCGAGCGGTACTGGAAGGAGGCCACGTGGTTGCCGTCCACGGAGACGTGGAAGCCCTCCCAGCCGGCGCGCACGACGAGCACAAAGAGGCGATCCTCGTGGAAGGGGAAGGGCCACTCCTCCGTCAGCTCCTTGTCCGCCTGCTTCATCACCTGCAGGGGGTGCAAGGAGGTGGAGAGGGGTGGAAAGTGGTAGAGACAGACGCAGCACAGAAGAGGCAGAGGGGAAGTGAGTGGGTGGGAGCAGGGAAGGGCCACTCCTCTGTCAACTCCTTGTCCGCCTGCCTCATCACCTGCAGGGGTGCAGAGGGGAGGGGCGGAGTACATGGGGATGCACAAGTCACAGGGTGGAGAGGGGTGGAAAAGGGTGGAGTGGAACCAAGAATCAGAGCAGAGACGGCCCTCGTGGAAGGAGAAGGGCCACTCCTCCGTGAGCTTCAATTCTGCTTGCTTTATCACCTGAAGGGGGGACATAGAGAGGTGCAGAGGAATGCAGAGAGGTGGAGACAGGTGGTGTGGGACAGGGTGGGAAGCCAACAGCCAGTGAAGAGGCGGTCCTCATGGAAGGGGAAGGGCCACTCCTCCGTCAACTCCTTGTCCGCCTGCTTCATCACCTGGTGAGGTGCAGAGGGACACGGAGCGGTAGCAACAGTCGCACAGCGGCAGGGGAGAGGCTGAGGTTGGATCACACGGAGCAGGTTGGAAGGGATGCTCCTCTGCTAACTCCTGGTCTGCCTGCTCTATCACCTTGTAGAAATGCAGACGGGTGGAGAGGGGAGCAGAGTGGCACAAGGGAGCCAAGTTTGAGGAGCAGGGGAGGGTGGGCGGGGCACAGAGCAAAGCGTGTGTGCAGTGGAGTGAGAGGGCCACTGCACATCTCACACCCTGGTCAGCTTGGGCCGAGTCAAACAGCCCTGAGTGCATGCATGCACGCACCACTCACACCTGTGGTTGCCACCCTGACAGCTTCTCAGTATCAAGGTGCGTGGTGTCACTGCTGGCCATGCGCTCCTGGTGCTCCTCTGTGCGCCCCTTGCCCTCCATACGAAGAGGGAGTGAAGCACCCTCAGCGCGCGCACACAGCACTCTCACCTGCCGCTGCCACCCGGACAGCTTCTCTGTGTCCAGGGGGGTGCCATCCGCGCTGTCCATGCGCTCCTGGTCCTCCTCCGTGCGCACCTTGTCCCGCGACCACTTCTCACACCGCCGCTGCCCGTCCACTGGGGGGGACGTGGGGGCAAGGCGGGGGTTTGGTGGGGGGGGGGGGGGGAGGAGAGGGTTGGCGCAGGTAGAGGAGGGGAAGGTGAGGATGGAGGGAGGAAGGGACAGGACAGGGACTCATGCCTCGCGACCTCTTCTCTCACCGCTGCTGCCTCTCCACTGGGGCTGCAAAGGGGATCACAGATACACCCAGCCACTCACAGATACACACAGCCACTCACAGATACACACAGCCACTCACAGATACACACTGGCACTCACTTCTCTCTTCATGGCACGTGGACGCATATCCCTTGCACTTGCCACTGCTAATCCTTCAAATCCACACCCCTATTTTTCTGTTAAGCATCTCGCTTAGTGCCACCATTCACTCCCAAAGCTGCCCTCGGTAGCACGTGTTCTGCTCTAACAAGCGCACACCAACCCCCCCCCTGCTGCTGTTGCCACTAAGTAAGTACTTTACTAAACAACAAACCACTCACCCCTCTCCTCATGGTACGTGGACGCATAGCCCTCGCATCGCAGCGACTCCCCCCACTGCCCGCGGTAGCACGTGTTCTGCTCTATCACGCGCACACCCTCCCCGTTACTGCTGCTGCTGCTGCTGCTTCTGTCGCCCCGCAGGTGCGAGTGCAGGTGGTAGATGCGCGTGGCCTCCTCTCCCTGCACCACCACTAGGCCCTGGAGAAGGGGAGCAGGGAGAGGTGGGAGGGAACGATGGAATGCACATCAGGGGGGATGCCGTCGTTGCGGCTTCTGTCGCCCCGCAGGTGCGAGTGCAGGTGGTACATGCGCGTGGCCTCCTCTCCCTGCACCACCACTAGGCCCTGGAGGATGGGTGGGATAATGGGGGGATGTCAAGACTGTTGCTTTTGTCGCCCCTCAGGTGCGAGTGGAGGTGGGAAGACGCGGGTGGCGTTCTCCCCCTGCACGGCCGCCAGGCGCTGGGAGAAGGAAAAAGGGGAGAAAAAGGGAGACGAGTGCGGGAGAGTGGGAGGCGTGAAGCAGTGCCCCGATCGCTGACCCGATTTCCGTCAGGCGCAAGAGAGCGTGGCTCATTCGCGTGCTCTCCCCCCCTTGCACCACCATCAGGCTCCACGGGGAGGGGAAGGGGGATGGCAGGGGTATGGCGTAGGGGGAGAGCCATGGGGGAGAGCCATGGGGGAGAGCCATGGGGGAGAGCCATGGGGGAGAGCCATGGGGAGAGCCATGGGGGAGAGCCATGGGGGAGAGCCATGGGGGAGAGCCATGGGGGAGAGCCATGGGGGAGAGCCGTGGGGGATGCTAATGGCTGCCTCTGTATCCCCTCAGGTGCACGAGAAGGCAGTGCTTGTGCGCTGGCCACCCGTCGTGCACTACCCACCAGACCCTCGAAGAGGGTGGGGAAGGGGGCAGAGAGTGAGGGAGTAAAGGGGGGGAGAGGGTGAGGGTATAGTGGGGGGGAGAGGGAGAGGGAGCAGCAAGGGAAGGGAGAGGGGGGGATAGCAGAGGGGTGGTGGTGGAGGATGTTGAAAGCGTCTTCTGACGAGGAACCACAAAGTCTACCTGTATTCAAGCCTACCAGAATTCCCAAGCCTAATCCCAAGCATGCCCTTCCCTCTAGCCCTGTGTATCCCTCTTACCAGTCAGTATTGCCTCTACACCTACCAGTATTGCCTCTACACCTACCAGTATTGCCTCTACACCTACCAGTATTGCCTCTACACCTACCAGTATTGCCTCTACACCTACCAGTATTGCCTCTACACCTACCAGTATTTCCAGCATAAACGACAGTGGCGATCGCTCACTGCCCGTCTTCTCCCCCGTCACCGCCACCTCCCCCGCGCCCGCCCCCCCGTGTACCGCTTCCGCGGACTTAGCAGGCGCGGAAGGCACCAAGCCTACTATGGTGATCGCGGACCCAACGCGCATTCCACAAGGTAACTTGACATCCCCGCTTCTTAATTCCTCATCCCCCTCCGTCAGCACTATAGCTCTCTGGCACGTCTTAATAGTATCCGCGCCGTCCGCTCTAGGGTCCTTCTTCCCCTCGCGCTCTAGCGTCTTTAATCTCTCCATCTCCGCGGCTAGCTCCCGAAGCGCCATCTGCCCCGCGTCCAGCGCCTCTTCCGACGATTTCTCCAGCACCGACCGCCGGCTAAACGGGCCCGTCCGCTTCTTCTTCTTGACGGCCGGCAAGTTAACCGGCAGAGGCTTCTGCCGGCTCTCCACCTTCTCCCCCGACACCTCCTCCGGCTGCTTCCCGTCCTCCGCCCCCCCCCGCCCGCCACTCCCCCCGCTCCGCCAACCCCCCCGCCGACTCCTCCACCAGCTGCGCCTCCCCCGCCTGCGCCGTCCGCGGAAGCCTCACGGAGCCCCGCCTTGCGCTGGCGGTCGGAGCCCCACGTGTTGCGCGTGAAGGTGGCGCGCAGGCGGTCCATGACGAATCGCCGCTTGCCGGTTGTGTCGGCCACCGTCAAGACGTCCATCTGACGGTCCGCCTCGTGCTTGAGCTTGTCGTCAGCCGACTCCGGGCTCCAGGGACTGGTGGGTGGGAAAACAGAAAGCGCAGCATTGAGGGGGGAATCAGCGGACGAAACGCTGTCGGCCACCGTCAGCACGTCCATCTGACCGTCTGCTGTCCATCTGGCCGTCTGCTGTCCATCTGACCGTCTGCTGTCCATCTGACCGTCTGCTGTCCATTTGACGGTCCGTCTCGTGCGTTCCCTTGCCGTCGGGAAAATACGGATTCCACGGACTGATGCGCTGGAGACAAACGAAAAAGGGAAGCGGGGAGGGGTATAATTCTCAAACAGCGGGACCGAATGGAATGCGCTCCGCAACGCATTCAACCGAAGCGGCTTGGCTTCATCGGAATGCCAGCACCGGCTTCGGCTTCGTTCCCCGACGCGTCGCAAACGGTCGATGAGAGCGTCGCGTCTAGTGAATGTCGACCAAGCAACAGCGTGGATTCCGACGGTGAATCTCGCCTGGATCGCATTCACCGACCGACAGCCCACCTAGTCGGCCGACTCCTCGGCTAGCCCCAAACGCAGAGCTCTTTCCTATCATCTCCCGCTCACCTGTCTAACAGTCCTTTTGAAGCGAAGAAGACGACCAGCGGGGACGGCTAACCCCGAACACAAGCACGCTCGAATCTGCCTCCCGCTAACCTGTCTAGCAGGCCTTTAGGAGCGACTAAGACGACCAGCATGAAGAAACCAGCGGCGACGGCTAACCCCAAACACAAGCACGCTCGTTTCTGCCTCCCGCTCACCTGTCTAGCAGGCCTTTAGGCGCGATGAAGACGACCAGCATGAATACCCCGGCGGCGACGGCTAGCAGTCTAGCCAACCGGCGCTGCGAGAACGCGGCGCCGGTGAACAGGCTGGCGCCGGCAGCTTTGCTGCGCTCTCGGAAGTCGTCGCGGTGGTGGTGATGGTGGTGGTGGAAGGTCGTCGGGACCGCCTTCCATGTTCCCCCTGCTCGCGGTCTCCCTGGCGGCGCTCCTAGTACCGTGGTTCGATTCACCGCCATTTCTGCGGCTCGGAGGAGCTGTGGTTCGGAGGAGGCTCGGAGGAGCTACGGTTCGAAGGAGCTACGGTTCGGAGGAGCTACGGTTCGGAGGAGCTGCGGTTCGGAGGAGCTACGGTTCGGAGGAGCTACGGTTCGGAGGAGCTACGGTTCGGAGGAGCTGGCGCTTCAAGCAGGAACGGCTGGAAGTCGGCTGCTCGGATCGTATGTGCTATCCGCTCTTGGAAAGGTAAGTGGTTGAAAATAAATATGGGGTCGGGAGCGGGCTAGGCAGTCGCCATGAATCGCGCTGACTCGAATTCAGGGAAGAGACATAATTTATGAGTATGGCTCGGTCGATTTGTACGGAGTGGCACAACGCGCAGGAAGACCGAAGCGGCGAGGATAACAGGCAGTGAACAAACTGCTTGATCGAGCGCGCCAAACGTACTTCTAAAGCCTGGACAGAAGTGAACGCAAGATGGAGAGTTGCTGCAGAATTGCCAGCAGCAAGTGCCACTTAAACTAGGCTAGACTCACTGCCGAATTATCCGAGCTAGCGATCTTAGATAATTTGGGGGACAAGCTGGGAGAAGCTTGGACGAGGTTCCCTTGGCTTGCAGAGCACGAGGCAGGTGAGGGCGTGGAAAATACGGTTCCGAACTATTGAAAGTTCGAACGGCCCGCAAGGTACAGTGCTTTTAATGACGGTAATGGCATGTTTCAGCTAGGATATCGCGTGGTACAAAGAGGTGGAAGTGCTGTTCGCTTGATTGAGAGGAAGGTTTGGACAAGCGACAAGCGACAAGGGAAGGAACGTGGGCGAGGCGAGACGACGAAATAACTCTCAGCCGCACGCGCCTGCACATGTGTCACGAGATCATTGGTTTTCCGGTCACCGCACCATCGCAACAGCTCTCCTGCGAGCCGACGACCCACTCGCGAAGGCGCAACTTTTAGCGAAGCGTCAGCGCCAGTCGCAATTTTGGGCATCCCCAACCTACGCGATCGAGTCGCGCCAAACTGTGGCGGAGATTCGCGAAGGGCTTCGCGGAGCCGTCCGTAAGCAGTCCCGCCAAATCTGTAGCATGTCTTCGTCACGAGCAGGTGCGATAAAGTTTACGTTTAAGGAAAATAACTTCATTGTCCTTAAGTATTTCTGACCTAACGTTCTTTCATAATTTATTCACAGCAGAATCAACCGTATATCTCTTTCTAGTATTATATAATAATATGAAATTCTTACACATTTAATTCTACGGGTATAAAATTTCCCGTACCATTCTTGGCTTTACTCTAACATATTCTTTTGAACTGTACTCGAAAACACTATAACTTGGATAATCTAGTGAGAAGCATCTCCACTGATGGAGTTTGAACCCCTCCTAATCGTGACGCACCGAGTTTTGCACGATTTGAGATGTGTCCAGTGCAAGAAACAGAGCTCCTTGGTTCCTACTGCCTTCGGTCTGTCCTTACCACAGCAAACCGAGCTTCTAAGATCGTCTCGACCAAGAAACTCGTTAACCGGCTGAGGCTGTCGCGATGGGAGGGCACGGCGGGTTGAATATTCTGCCGCAGAAGCGGTGGAACGTGTATAACTACGAGAACCGGGAGAAGGTGCGCAAGGACGAGGCGGAGCAGTCTGCGCGCGAGCAGGCGCTGGCGGAAGAGCAGCGCCTCCGCGACAGCGAGTTGCGCCTTCAAACGCTCCGCGCTCGCTCGCGCCAGCAGCAACTCCCCCTTCCCCAGCAGCAGGAGCAGGGGCGTTTAACGTCCCCCCAGGACCAGGCGGAACCGTCGGCGGAAGTTGCGGCCGACGCCGTCTCACGCGCTTTAAGTTCACGCGATTCGGTGCAGCAAGCGGACGTGCTTAAATCGGGTCACATAAACCTCTTCGAAGGGCTGGACTCGGCTGATTTCTCCGCGTTAGCGTGTGGCACAGCGGGCGCGCAGGCGACTGACGCGGTGAAGCCCGGGCGAGCGCAGGAGCTGTGGGAGAAGGAGCACAAGGCGGGGGAGGAGGAGAGGCATAGACTGGGGTACGGAGCGGTGGGGAAGGGTGGGCAGCAGCCCTGGTACGCGCGAGCGGGTGACTTGACGGTGGGGAAGGGGGAGGGAGGAGCGGGGAAGAATGGGGGGGATGAAGGAAAGGGGGCAACTGGGAAGAGGAGATTCGTGGAAGCAGTGGAGGCGAAAACGAAGTCACGAGGAGTGAAGAGGGTTGCGCTTGGAGAAGGTATGCTCATCTGCTGTCCTTAGTTCGTTCGCCGTTTCTGTTGATGAGTTTGTTCATTAGTGGCTGATTATTCGTGTTTTGGTTATATGCACATGTATGGCTGATAACCTGTACTGTTCCTGTTGCTCTGTCTCTGCCTCTTTTCTTTCCACACCCTTGCCTCTTTGCCTCTCAAGGCACTCGGCCACACATTGCCCCTGCAGCCGCAGCAGCAGCCAACAACGACGATGATGATCGTGATGAGGACGTTCCCAGTGCAAGGCACAAGAAGAGGAGGAAGCAGAAGCGCCGACGGGGCCGGTCTCCCTCACCGCACTCGTCCCCCACATCGTCATCAAGCAGCGACGGTCACAAGGACACACGGCACCATCGGGGCAGAAAACACACAAGGGACATCAGGTTGGGCAGATTGGCCAGGTCTCCGTCTCTCGACTCCCCTTCCTCCACATCAGTTCCAAGCAGTGGTGCTGATAAGCACGCTCTCAGTCCAAGGCACAAGAAGAAGAGGAAGCACAAAAGGGGCAGGTCCCCTTCCCCTGACTCGTCCCCCACATGGTCGTCAAGCAGCGATGGCCACAACGACAGACGCCACGATCGTCCCAGAAAGCGCATAAGGAGCATCAGGTCCCCTTCCCCAGACTCGTCCTCCACATCAGTATCAAGCAGCGACGACGATGATAACCGCCACCGCCACCGCCGCCACTCAAGGAAACAGCGTCATAAGAAGCACCCGAAAGAACAGTCCTCTTCTTCTGATGGCTCCTCCTCTCAGGATGTGTCTTTGTCCTCAGACAGCAGCGACAGTGATAGCCCAATCGGGGAGCAGCGGGGAAGCAGGCGTAGGCACAGAGGCGGGGATTGGTCCAAGGGGAGGGGTGGAGGCAGACGCAAAGAGCACGGCGTGAGGAAGAGTCATGGGAAGGAGACCAGGGGGGAGTTGGACGAAGGCAGGAGGAGAATGGCTGGGAGAGGAGAGATGGGAGAGAGAGGTAAGGAGGAGGGGGCGAGATCCCGTGGTGAAGGCACGAGAGGAGCTGGGAAGAGGAGCATAGAGGCGCTGAGAGCAGAGAGAGTTGCACGGGAGGCTAAGGAGAGGGAGAGGGCGCAGGTGCTGTTGCTGCAGCACCACCAGACGACTGGGGGGAGAGCAGGAGGGGGCCTGCTTGGCCCTGGAGCAGCAGGGGTTGGGGGGGGTGCGTCAGGGGTGAGGGAGCTGGGATGTGGGGTTGAAGGGAGGGATGGTGGGTTGTTTGGGGGCATTGTGATGCACGGGCCTGAAGCAGGGCAGAGGAGAAAGCAAGCTCGGTATAATTCTGGGTTTGGTTATGGTCGGTGAACTTGCTTCAGAAAAACGTGGGTCGTCTTGTGTCCCGTCTGCTTGGCGAGCTTGCCATAGCTGGTGTTTTTCCACGAAGTATTGAAAAAAATTAGGGTGTCCATTGCCGAGTAGCTTATCAAAAGCCACTGGAGGCAGGTTGGTTGTGATTTACTGTACGGTATCTGAACTAGGCACTGATACTTGGTGATGCTGCCAAGCAGAAAACAACCTGTTACAGGTACGACAAACTGTCAAACATGTATATCTCTAATGTTTGTATAGACTGTATAGGGTCGCCTCTTAGAGGGTACAACACTTAGGTATATTCACCTGTACCCTCCTATGCTAATTATTCATTTCTAACATGGTATCACTCGTAGGTTAGGATCCCCCCCACCTACCGCTTCCGCCCGTGCCTCCTAGCCCCGTCGCGCCCCTCCTGGGCCCCGTCGCGCCCCCTAGGCCCCATCGCGCCCCCCTGGGCCCCTTTCGCACCTCCTAGCCCCGTCGCGCCCCCCTGGGCCCCTTTTGCGCCTCCTAGCCCCGTCGCGCCCCTCCAGGGCCCCGTCGCGCCCCCTAGGCCTCGTCGTGCCCCCTGGGCCCCATCGTGCCCCCCTAGGACCCGTCGCGCCCCTCCTGGGCCCCTTTCGTGCCTCCTAGCCTCGTCGCGCCCCTCCTGGGCCCCTTGCGTGCCTCCTAGCCCAGCCGCGCCCCCCCTGGGCCCCTTTCGCGCCTCCTGGCCCCGTCGCGCCCCCCTGGGCCCCTTTCGCGCCTCCTAGCCCCGTCGCGCCCCTCCTGGGCCCCGTCGCGCCCCCTAGGCCTCGTCGCGCCCCCTGGGCCCCATCGCGCCCCCTAGGACCCGTCGCGCCCCTCCTGGGCCCCTTTCGTGCCTCCTAGCCTCGTCGCGCCCCTCCTGGGCCCCTTGTGTGCCTCCTAGCCCAGTCGCGCCCCTCCTGGGCCCCGTCGCGCCTCCTGGCCCCCCCCCTCGCGCCTCCTAGCTCGTCGCGCCCCTCCTGGGCCCTGTTGCGCCCCTTCTGGGCCCCGTCGCGCCTGCTAGGCCCCGTTGCGCCCTCCCTGGCCCCGTCGCGCCTGCCTGGCCCTGCTGCGGCCTGCCTGGCCCTGTCGCTCCTGCCTGGCCCTGCCGCTCCTGCCCGTTCCCGCCGCACCTGCCTGGCCCCTCCGCGCCGGCCTGGCCCTGCTGCGCCTCCCTGACCCTGCCGCGCCTGCCTGGCCCCGTCGCGCCTCCCTGGCCTTGTCGCACCTGCCTGGCCCCGCCGCGCCTGCCTGGCCCCGCCGCGCCAGCCGGTCCTGCCGCGCCTGCCGTTCCTGCCGCGCCTGCCGGTCCCGCCGCGCCTGCCGGTCCTGCCGCGCCCGCCGCGCCTGCCGGTCCCGCCGCGCCTGCCTGGCCCTGCCGCGCCTGCCGGTCCCGCCGCACCTGCCTGGCCCCGCCGCGCCTGCCTGGCCCCGCCGCGCCTGCCCGGACCCTCTTCGTGCCGGCTCGGCCTATCGAGCCACTTCGGGCTCCGTCTACACTGCTCGCCCGCGCTGGGGCGCCTTGCGGCCGCCGTGCTGGAGAGCGCTGCCGCTGTGTTCATGCGGAGCTGTGGAGCTGTGCCGCTGACCCTGCACGATGGCTGACTTCGTGCTCCGACTGGACGCCGAGGGCCACGCGGTTGACTTCGCCGCCTGGCTCTCTGACCTCCGCCGCCACCTTACAGGTCAGCGCCAGGATGGCCACTCTTTGATTGTCCATGCCGATGGCTTGCTCCCCCGTCCCCCTGCACCTGCTCCCCTCCCTGCTGACCCCTCCTCTAATGACCGTGAGACCTTCTCTACTACTGCACTTAGCTGTGCTGTCTGGGACTCCCGCGATGCAGTCGCTCAGGTTGCCATTAGCCACACCCTCCCTGTCTCTGAGCGCTCGCGTTTTGCCATTGTTGAGACAGCCAAAGCTTACATAGACGCAATCATTGCCCGCTAGTCCACACCCGCGTCTGCTACTGCTGGCCGCTTGCTTTTCCCGATGCTGTTCCCAGACCTTGCAGCCTTCCCTACCGTCGCAGACTTTGCTGCTCACTTGCGTGCCCTAGAGACCCGCTATCGCACTGCCAGCACTACTGCCCAGCTCATTGCGCTCCCCCCCCCTTTTTTGCAAGACGCTCTATTTTATCGCCATGCGCCTGCCAGACCGCCTCGCTAGTGCTCGCGATCACTTCCTTAGCCAGCACCCGGCTGATCTCACCCTCACTGCCTTTGTCGACACCCTCACCGAGATCGAGACTCGCCAGCGCACTATCGCTCAGTCGAGCGGTGCGCCGGCAGTCTCTATCTTTCACGGCTGTGCCCCCTCCCAGTGCACGTTCACTGACGTTTCAGCTGCGCTCGCCATGGCGACCCCTCTCACCGAGATGGCTGCTGCGTTCCACCCGCAGCAGCGCTCGCGCCGCGGTGGCCGTGGTCGCTAGGGAGGTAGGGGTGGTGGCGCAGGTGGTGGTGGTGGTGGTTGTGACGGTAGTCCGCCTGCGGGGACTACCACTGGTGGGCAGGAGCAGCAGCCCCAGTCGCAGCAGGAGCAGCCCGCGCCGCAGCCGCCGTCCCAGCAGCAGCCGCCGCAGCAGTGGGCTCGTCTCCCGCCTGGTTGGCCCGGCACCTCCGGCGGTGTCGGCCGTGGTGGCGGCCCGCGCAGCTTGGCTTCTACCAGCGGCTCCGGTGCTGTGCCCTGCCAGTACCAGCTTCAGACCGGGCCTCTGCGCGGCACTCTGTGTCGCCGCCCGCACCCAATTGCCCACTGTTTCCGCCGCCTCGACGATCCTTTTCGTCGTCGCTTTGGCCCGGCCCCGGACCTCCTCGACTGGCACAGCCTGCTCCGCCAGGGCGTGCCGATCTTTGAGTTAGACATGGATCAGATAGGTGCTGCTTTGCATGCCTTGTATTCTGACGCTGCTAGTGTTGCTGGATCTTATTACCATGTGTTCTCTAGTTTAAGTGTTGCACCATTGTGTAGCTTAGCCTCTCCTACTGCGTCAGGCGTAGGACTGCCTAGTTTGTCTAGCCCGGTCTCTGCACAGGCTCTGTTCCCGGCCTCCGCCACTGCTTCGCTGTCCTTCACTCTCGACTCCGGAGCTTCTGCCTGCTTCTTCCGCGACCGCTCTGCGCTCACGCCACTTGCTACGCCTGCTGTCGTCTCTCTTGCTAACCCCTCTGCGGGTCCTGTCGTCGCTCGCAGTTCTGCCGATGCCCCCCATTTTCTGTGGCCGTTCGCTGTTCGCTACGCTGCTCACCAGCTTAACTTGTGGCCGCGCTCCCAGCGGCCGCAGGTTTCGCCGACCCTCCTTTGGACTGGGTCCCCCGGTGACGCATCTGCGTTCCACGTCTGGGGCTGCATTGCTCACGTTTGTGCCTCTGGCACGGACAAGCTCACTGCCCGCACTGTCCCTTGTGTCTTCCTTGGTTTCCCCCTGGACTCGTCTGACTGGCTCTTCTACCACCCGCCGTCTCACCGCTTCCTCCACTCTCATGACATCACCTTTGACGAGTCTGTCTCCTTCTACCGCCGCTTCCCTCACCGAGGTCTCACGGTTTCCCCGCCCCTGTTCCTTTCTCCCTCTCCCCCGATAGCCCCTGCTCCTCTCCCGCCTCGTCCTGCCCCGTCTGGTGTCTCTCACGTCACTCCCCTCCCGTCGGTTGTCCCCGTTGAGGAGTCCGCTGACTCTGGTGGTACCCCAGGCCCGTCCTTGCAGCGTCCCCCTTTCCCGGTGTCTTTGCCTCCACTGTCGCAGCCGCCGCCTCCTCTGCAGCCGCCGCCACCGCCGCCGTTGCCGCCGCCGCCGCTGCCGTCGCCGCCGCAGCCGTCGCTGCAGCTGCCGCCGCCGCTCTTGGCCCCTGGGGGTGCTGGCGTTGAGGAGGGTGTTCGTCCTGCGGCTCCTGGGGGTGCCGCTGGTGTTGGAGGGGGTTCTCGCTCTGGGGGTGCTGCTGTCGAGTGTTCTGCCGACGGTTGTCCTGCCTCTGCCGGTCCGCGGGTTCCGGCCCAGCCGCAGCAGCAGTCGCCGCTAGTCTCCGCACTCCGAATGCTCGGCCTTCCCTTCCCGGACCGCTCGCCGGTGTCTCCCCCACCGCCTGCTGACCATCCTGTCTACGGTCCTGTGTTCCCGCAGCCGGACTCGTCTCCGGCCCGTCTTCCTCCTCGTTCCCCTCTTGTGTCCCCTCCGCTGTCTCCTGACCCTACCCCTCTGTCCCACGTCTGGTCTCGCCGTCCCTCCCGTGCCCGTCCCATCTCTCCTGTCCCGCGCTCCCACCCTATGTTGCTCCGTTCCCGCTCGTCTCGTCCTCCCCTCCTTTCGTCACCTCCTCCCTCGTCGCTTGCTGTTGCGCCTCCTCCGTTCTCTGACTACCTCCGTGCTGCTCGTCCCCTTGTCCCTCGGGTCCTTGCCTCCCTTGTTACCGACCCTTCTGTTCCTAACTCGCGCCTTGACACGCTTGTCGCTGCTGTCGCTGACTTCGCCTCTACCCGCCGCCTTGACTACGCTACCGCTCTAGTCTCTGACCCTGCCTGTCCTCCGTCTGTCGGGGGTGCACCTACCCTTGGCAGTGACGTTCTCGAGGATAGGCAGTACGAGCTGGCTTTCCTTTTCGAGGCTGCTCCCCACCTCTGCTCCATGCAGTTAGACCCTGAGGGTGACCCGGACGCCTTCGACATCCCGACCCCTCGCACTTACGCAGAGGCCACCTCGGGACCCTGGGCCTCTCAGTGGATAGCTGCCATGGAGCAAGAGATGGCATCTTGGAGGTCCACCGGCACTTACGTCGACGCAGTTCCCCCGCTTGGGGTGAACGTAGTCGATGGTCGGTGGCTCTTCAAGGTGAAGCGCCCCCCAGGAGAGCCGCCTGTCTTCAAGGCGCGCTACGTGGCCAGAGGCTTCAGTCAGCGCGAGGGGGTTGACTTCTTCCAGACCTTCGCCCCGACCCCGAAGATGACCACTCGTCGGGCGCTGCTACACGTAGCAGCACAGCGCGACTACGAGCTTCAATCCCTCGACTTCTCTACTGCCTTTCTTCAGGGCAGCCTACACAAGCAGGTCTACCTGCGCTGACCACAGGGCTTCACTGGTACCTTCCCCCTTAGGACCCAGTGGCTTCTCAGGCACCAGGTCTACGGCCTGCGTCAGGCTCCTCGCGAATGGTACGACACGCTGCGGGCCACGTTAGCAGACCTGCAGTTCTTTCCGTCCTCTGCTGA